AGGAATCCGCGCAGTGCTGGTGGTGATAGCGTTGCTAGTGATTTGGATAATTTTGGTTATTCTGTTAAACTCTCGAACTGGGATTTATGGCATCGGCGGTTAGGCCATCCTCATTCGGCTAGATTATTGGATATGTTCAAGCAAAATTTGTTATCTGGCAGTTCAGTTTGTGATTCTCGTGACTGTGTTCATTGCATTAAGGCAAAACTTTCTCACCAGTCATTTACTGCTAGTACCACCGTTTATTCTGATCCGTTTGATTTGGTGTATACTGATTTGTGGGGACCGTCCCCTGTGACATCGCGTGTTGGGTTCTGGTATTTTGCTCTTTTTGTGGATCATGCTACACGATTTGCTTGGGTCTACTTTCTTCGTCACAAATCTGATTTACTGAAAGTGGCGAAGGAATTTTTGCAAATGGTTAAAACGCAGTTTGGCAAGATGGTCAAGGTGATTAGATCGGATCCCGGGGGAGAGTTTGTTTCTGGTCCTCTCCAAGAAGTGTTTAGAGAATGTGGTATTTTACCTCAACAGTCCTGCCCGGGTGTGTCACAACAAAACGGTCTTGTTGAGCGTAAACATCGGCATGTTTGGAACTTACTCGAGAAATTTTATTTCAGTCTTGCGTTCCGTCTACTTTCTGGGTTGAGGCGATTCACATTGTGGTTTATTTGATTAATAGGCAGCTCACGCCCATACTCGATCAACGCAGCCCGTATGAAGCCTTGTTTGGAAAACGGCCAGCTTACAATGAACTGAGGGTGTTCGGGTGTGTCTGTTACGTCTTACTACCTAGTCGTGAGCGTAAAAAGTTGTCTCCTAAGGCTGTGAAGTGTGTGTTTGTTGGCTACAGTGACAAACATAAAGGATATGTTTGTTATGACTTACCTAATCGTCGGATCCGAATTTCAAGTGATGTTGCCTTTTTGGAACATTTATCCTATTATGATCATAAGGATTCTGTTCCTCGCCAATACCTGGACTTTCTTCTTGAGTTGCCATCTTTTCCTGTTGCGGCAGCACCAGCTGGACCCGAGCTCGATCCACCTCCCTCCCCTCCTCATGATGTGACATCATTTCAGCTTGAGATGTCTTCTTCTCCCGCTACTGGCTCGTCTTGGCAAGCATCAGGCTTCTCTGGGGATGCTCATTCACCTGTCGGCTCACCCAGCTCCTCCTTGTCAGCCAACAGCTCCAGCGCGTCTCCTGATCCGCATCTTGAAGACCTTGCGGAGGAACCTCCAATCCAGCTACGTCGATCGGATCGGACGACGAGAGGAAAGCCTCCTGCTCGCATGACTGATTTTGTATCCTTCTCAACGACCCACATTCCAATTCCTGCATCGTATAAACAGGCTCGAGGGCATCCCGATTGGGACGCGGCTATGACTACTGAAGTTAATGCTCTTGAGGCAAATCAGACTTGGGAGGTTGTGCCCCGGCCTATTAATGTCCCAGTCATTGGATCAAAGTGGGCCTATAATGTGAAACTCAACCCTGATGGTTCCCTTGAGCGCTTTAAAGCTCGAGTTGTGGCGCAAGGGTTCCGACAGAAGTTTGGTATTGATTATGAGGAGACGTTTGCTCCTGTGGCTAAAATGCAGACAGTCCGGACTTTGTTTGTAGTGGCTGCTATGCAGGGATGGTGTCTCAAGCAGCTGGATGTGAAAAATGCGTTCCTTCATGGTGACCTTAAGGAGACTATCTATATGGAGTGTCCTCCCGGCTATTTGGGAGGCGATAAGTCGAAGGTGTGTCTCCTTCGACGTTCCCTCTACAGTCTCAAACAAGCACCACGTGCTTGGTTTGAGAAATTTCAGGATACTATCCTGTTGGCTGGGTTTACTCAAAGTAACAACGACCCCTCCTTGTTTGTTCGTCGCACAGCACGGGGTATCACGGTGTTGCTCATATATGTTGATGATATGCTGGTGAGTGGGGATGACCTTCTGGGTATTCAAGAACTTACTCAAACACTACACTCTGCGTTTAAACTCAAGGAACTGGGTGATGTCTCTTACTTTCTGGGCTTAGAAGTTCATCGCTCATCGGCTGGGTTACTGGTTAGTCAACAGAAGTACATAGTTGATCTTCTTGAGGCCGCAAATATGGATGAATGCGAACCCTGTGCTACACCCATGGAACAGAATTTGAAGTTGCGTCAGTCTGATGGTGACTTGCTTCCTGACGGATCGTCTTATAGAAGCCTGGTAGGGAGTTTGATTTATCTTACTCATACCCGGCCGTATATTTCTTATGTCGTTCAGGTTGTTAGTCAGTTTATGTCCGCTCCTCGTACTACTCACATGGTGGCTGTTTGTCGCATTCTTCGATATTTGCGGGGGACCACTGATGTTGGTATGTTCTTTTCTTGCTCTGGTGATCCGGTGATTGAGGCTTATGCCGATGCTGATTATGCGGGTTGTCTGGATACTCGGCGTTCAACCTCTGGATGGTGTGTGAAGCTTGGTTTCTCGTTTATTTCCTGGCGTTGTAAGAAGCAAGAGAGGGTCTCTAAATCCTCCACTGAAGCCGAGTATCGCTCCATGTCAGAAGTGACTTCCGAAATAGTTTGGCTACGGCGGTTGGTAAATGAGCTTGGGCTTTCTTGTGTTCTTCCGATGCGGCTCTATGCTGATAATACCAGTGCTATTCGTATTGCTCTTAATCCTGTTCTTCACGACCGTACGAAGCATATTGAGGTCCATGTTCACTACATTCGCCAACTAGTTGCTGAAGGTGTGATTGAGTTGTCTTATATCACTTCTGAAGATCAGACGGCTGACCTGTTGATCAAAGCTGTTGCAACGTCCCGTCATTGGTTTCTGGCGTACAAATTGATGTTGCGTAAGCATCATCAATTTGAGGGAGGGTGTTAGAAGTATTGGGTGTTGATTGTAATTAGCCTTTAATCCTTGTGTTAGAAGTATTGGTTAATTACATTGTGGTCATCGAGTTAGGGTTATTCGGCCAGTATATATATGTGACATTGGCTGAACTTGTAACCTAAGGATTCTCGGTTAATACAATTGACTCTGAGAGGTTGGCCCTCTCCGTGGATTAGTCTCAACAATACGTTGAGGATACCACGTAAATCTGTGTGTTCTGTGTTGTGATCCTTCTTCTGATTATACGTTTATCAATATGAATGAGAGGTCCTCTGTATACTTACATGATCATAACATGAACCGATGGAGTGCTTCTACTCCTTTTCCGAGAACCAACCACGAGGCCAGTTTCAAATCATTGTGACGAACAGATTGCATGGTAATATGCCAAAACTTCGTCATACTTTCACCCGACCAGTGCAATATATCCAGACAATTGTTCATACAAACCAAAAGCAAAACATATATATATGTGGCAAAGGCTAGCGTACACCTGTCGTATGCTATACACATATGTTCACACTTATAAATTAATTTTGATAATTAAATTAATATTCGTAAAATTATAATTACAAGTACAATCATTAATTAATTATTGCGTACACTTAAGTCCCATAACTTTTTACCGTTTGTTACATTTATATCAAAATCATTTATGTATACATTAATATATTCATCGGATCTGTTTTCCTTTCTTGTTCTTATAATCATCCAAACTGGAAACTTACCTGAACTGTTTCTTAAATTACCCCATAGTGTTCAAAAGTTAAACCGAAAGAGCAACCCCTTTCCTCCTCCACAAATTCTAGCCTAGAAATTTTCTTATCAAAGTTTTAATGCCCACGTATTATGACATGGAGTACAAGATCGATTAATGTTATATGAGCCATGAGGCAGGGGCGCCCTTTTAGCGTCCCATCTTTCTACCAAAAAAAATGTTATATGAGCCATGGAATTCTCACGACCGCATAGTAACCACTAGCCTAGTATTGTGCTAAGTTTATAAATCAAGATCATTTTCTTCACAATTAGGTATGTTACGCACAAAATCGGGGATGAATAAAAGTGGGATTGATCATGCCCGATTAAAACCATACTGGAGTCAATTTTATAATTTCAGAGGAGGTGTATTTGAACTAAAATCCCATAATGGCGATTGAAGGCTCGATCAATCCTGGGACATCTCCTCAACAAACAACATGTTGTGGAAATTGTTTCTTGCCACACAAGGCATATATAGAAATTGACACATGTATAAACAATGCCCGAGCAAATAGAATTTACTATTCCTCTTTAATGAATTTAGTTCCCCTCTACGGTACCTAAGGTTATTGGAACTATTCCTCCCAGGATAGAACGAATGTACCTTTTCTGGCGTACCGGTACTTGAAACCCCAGAAACCGACGAACGTAACGATCGGAGTGAAGTCACACGACTCTATTCTCTTTATGAGTTTGTAGAGAGGAAATGCAATGAAGAATGAAAAATTCTTTATTCTTTTGGCCAGAAAAATTTATTGGGAAAAACTTAGGGTAAATACAATATATTAGCCACAACTATTACGAAGCGGGGAATTATAGCCACAACTATGAAAATTCAAATTATTAGCCATAACTATTGTTGCGGGTCAAGATATAGCTAACTGTCCGTTACTGTTATTGAATTTTTGACGGAGAAGGCCACGTCATCGGCAACGGCAGTGGCCACGTCAGAATGCTTTTAATTTATAACTTTAAAACATAAAAGTTTAGTGAGTATTACTAACGAAATTGTTAACAGATAGTTAACGTTTGACTAATAATTTGAATTTTCATAGTTGTGGCTATAATTCCCTGTTTCATAATAGTTGTGGCTAATATATTGTATTTACCCTTTTTATTTAGAAAACAAAGGGGGTAGGTGTTTATTTATAGACAATGAAGGGGTGCGAGTGAAGGGATGTGACCCTTCAAGTGGGTGGTTACACACCAACCATCGCAATGGTTCACAAAAAAATGCCCAACCATTGCATTGGTTCGTCATAGTAGTTGGACCAATTGGTTCTTCCTAACCACCACATCGGTTTGGTCCGATTCGGTTCAACTTGGTTTAAACGATAACTTACCAACTATTGGCTTCTTTCCCTTTCATTCCCATTCACACCTTTCAAATCCCAACACAACAATCTACAAATTCTTTCTCAAAGGAAACTACCTCGTCGGCGTCCTCCCATAATATGAAACAACAAAACAAAATACCATAGTAAAATGTGTATTCATACTAGACAAGTACAATAATTATTATAATCAGTAGCGTATCCAGACTTTGAGTACATTGGGGTCCTTAAAAATTCAATAATACTATAACCTTTGTATCTAATAAACTTTAAGTTAATTGGGGTCCTTAAGTGAACTAATATCGACGAGTAAGAAATCCTAAACTTGAAATATTATACTAAACACTATTATTAAAGAGTTTTGTTGTCTTCTTTTTTTTGTTAACTGGGATCCTAGGACCCACTTCTCTCCACCTTCCTCTTTCACTGATTATAATATTCCACTTGAGTGAGCACACTTTAATAAGTAATTAACTTTACAATTTATCAATTTTAACTATGTAAACGAATGACATGCGTAACGTAAGAGATTTGTGATTGGAGGAATATATAAAATATATAAGACTTTGATGTATAATGTACTATCACAGGTCTGTTTGGGTAATCTTGGATAACCATCAAAACTCGCAACCAACCACAATGCTACATTTTTCAAAAATTCAAATCTATATCCCGCCATAAAATTGGATTTTCTCATCACATATGGATCGGTTTGGATTGGACGGTTGGATTTTCTCACCACAGGTTTGTAAATCGTAATGACTTCACAGTATAAACGTAAGCGGCAGTATCACCAGCTTATTTTAAGTCAACTTTTCTGTGAGATGTGATGTCACCTAGTTTTGCTAGTGATGTATTATGAAATTACTAAGGTTACTGATTCAAAGTTTTGTCGATGACGCAGTATGGAACTATTACTGGTTGTCATTCTCTAGTGACAAGAGCTTTCCTTGAGCCCATTTGCATATACTTTAAAACCAGATTAACCTTCACCTTAATCATACAATTAATGAAGTGCAGAGTATTCCAGCACAATTCCCTGACTACATAATAATCAATAAGCAATAGCCTGCATATCTTTAGAGAAAACATTGGGGGTATATTTTATGTTCTAAAAATGAGTTTAATCTGGTTTTAAAGTGGGTAATAGGAGGCCCGCTATTCATAATAATATTATAATAATCAGCTACATCTGTTCAAAAATTATGCAACTGGTCTTATAAGCCAAGAAAAAAATGATAAGTTGTAGCGTCGCTTCCTGATAGTCAAATCAATTGCTCTATGGTAACCCGATAAAAAGCTGATATCCAACAGCAAGCTTTTCTCAAAACTGGAACTGCACTTTAGGTAGTAAACCCAAAAGCGTCTAGGTGATCAGCTGCCACATATCAATATCTACAAGGTCAGAACAACGAGAAACCAGTTTACAAAGCTTAAATGGGGATAAGAAAGAAAGAGCAAAGTGATGGGGAGTACTCGATCAAATCGACTGAACATCTGCTGCTGGTGGGAGTTAGGAGAACAAGGATTAATTCTAAAGAGAAAATACATATGGTTCATAACATAGTACACTTTGAAGCGGCCAGGGAAACTTTTGGCAAGATTATCTAGCTCGTCCTGCATATAGAGAAATCAAATATACCCAAACTAGGCATGCAACTTGTATAGACTCACTGGAGGCTCTTGTGGATGGAGACTAAACATACATTATCACATGCAACCTAATGCTACTTAATAATTGTTAGTTCTGGTGCGTTTTCATGAATCCATCACACAAGGATCATCAGCAACAAGAACAAATAATTATGAGAAGGGGACCATACAACACGAAATCAAGACCTAAACGAAAGCTCCATAGACATGAAAGGGAATTAAGCTATAAAAGTACATAGATATTGAAATAGACAAGGGAAAGAGAGAAACCGTACTTTTTCTATATCAAGATTTTCATTGCATCAAGGCACTGTCATTGTCAAGTGTGTTTTGTTCGGATTTTAGGGTTCTTCTCGTACTTGAGCTGGGTATTAAAGTTGCCAGCACGTGAAAGGGACAACCTTTTCCTGAACAGCATGCTTCAAATACTCTATGACTTGCTCCTTAAAGTTTCTACAAATTAGTTTATCCCACCGGCTTGATCGATGAATCGCGAATTGCGGACGGTTGAATGCGCACGGGATTTGAATCGAAGAGATGAGAAAACATAGATATTGTACAGGATTGGTGGTCTAATTTGGACAAGGGTGAGATGGCGAGTTGGGATCATAAAGAAGACGATGGCGGGTCAGTCAGAATATAGTGGGGGAGATAATTTTTCGGAAGATCGAAAAGGACGGAGGAGAAAGCCGTAGATTTCTGGTTCGCCAATGAAGGGATAGAGGGATGGAGAATTGGACACGAAAAGCAGTTTCTCACTTATGATGAAATTGATGGATGGTAGAAATTGATGGGGACTAAAACGAACAAACAATTAATTGATGGGTATTACGATTGTAATTATCATTATAATTAATTTAAAGACAATTAATAATTAATATATAAGTGTGAACACAGGCGTATAGCGTACGTCAGGTGTATGCCAGCCTGAACCATATATATATATATATATATATATATATATATATATATATATATATATATATATATATTCACAACGAACAATTATATATAGCAAGATATATACCGAGCCTACTATATATATTCATGATTATAAGATGAGATACCGAAACACAAATCAACAAATTGAAACCAAATTTGGTAAGATAATTTTATCCAGGGACAGAAAGTTACCAAAACCATCGATCCATATGTAACCGGGAATCAACAGTCTAATGCAATATATCCATACTGCAATTTTTGTCTAACGCAGCCACATATACAAACAGGGACAAGAGAAATATGTATATACATTTTCCTTACTGGAACCGAAATTTTGTTTCTTCCTTTGCAATTTTACTTCACATGCATGGGAATGAATAACCATGATGGCAAACCTCAATGACTCGTGTACCAATTTCACTAATGGCGGTTACACGAACACAGAATTTCAGAACCATCGAATGCAAAGTTGCATGAACAGAAACCGAAGGTTGCTCTCAGATTAACCAAACAGTATACGGGAATAATCACCAAAAAATAAATTGTTAGGAACGGAACAACAACAAGAATGAGGTTATCGAATCTGGAGCCGAGTCGCTGACTAGGGCGCTTTATTTAAGACGTTTGCGGCACTGTCCTCGATGTGCACGGCAGACTATCAACCGGTCTTCTCCAGAATAAAACAACTCCTCGAATGCTCGGCGGTTTTGTGCGAAAACCGGAGCTCTTTGAACACTCTCTATATTGTGTTTCTGCTCGTTGTGGTGTGTTTAGAGGGGCTGGGGAGGCAGCTATTTATATGAGCCGAACCCCTAGGAATATACCCTCTTTACTTGGGGAATAAGCCGGATTAATTAACGAAGATAATTACTTCCTTAACTAAAACGCGTTTATAAGATAATTCCTGACATAATTATCCTTCGAATATTTCTTTTGAATGATTATCTTCGTATCTGTTAAGGATACAATATAATCAAGTAATAATTAATTAATAATTTTGGAATTTCTATAAAAAAATATTAGTACCCACCCGCCCACCCACCCAACCAACCGACCAGCCGGCCGGTCGAACGGCGCGTGCGTGTGTGCGTGGTGGTCCGTTAGGTCCACCCTCACCCACAAAAGTGGGTCACCCCAAGGGGCATGCCCTTAGGAGAGAGGATCCTATTCTTATACACATATCATAAGAGTAAAACTACCAATGTGGTAGTTTTTCCTTTGAGACTTATAGCTTTCAAAGCTATTCATTATTCATTCATTTCCAACAATCCTCCACTTGAATAGTTTTGAAACTATCTCTTCGCATACACAGTTCTATAAGATCGGGCATAAGTTAAGGTATCGCGAAGATTTGAACCTTAGCGTAGTGGTTACACTTCCGATTTCATAAGGGTGATTCGTAGTCTTGAACCCTATCTCAGACAGTGTAGCACACCAGATCTTTTCATTGAGTTGTGTTCTCTTCTTAGCCCATGCGTTTATGACCATGCACGTTATCCTGGTTTAGTGAACGCTCTAGCAACTTTGTGCCTCCAAAGTTCCATAGGGGGTGGCCCCACTCCCACATTCACATAGGTGAGTCTATCAGGAGTACCCCCAAAGTAAAGTACTCCACCCCACATAGGGTATAGATCTCATTAAGAGTTGTTAACTCAACCTCCATTGCTTTGGGATCCATGCTTCACTATGCATGAACTTTTTGCATACTACTCATGACTTGTTATTACCCATTGAACCCATTTCTTGGGATCTCCAGTCTATTGGGTCGGGTTACCATCACTTGTAGTCCGTGGCTCGGTTGGCGTAAGTCACATACCCTTGGCGGTATTCTGGACTTTCTCTCTAGGTAATCCTTTTATCAAAGGATCAGCTAGATTCTGCTCGGATCTTATATGATCCACCCTCACTGCTCCTATCGTTAGGAGTTCTCTTACAGTACTGTGCTTACGATGAATCTATCGTTTCTTTCTGTTATAGAACCGGTTCTCAACTTTAGCGATAGCTGCGGTACTATCACAATGGATCAATACCGGAGGGACCGACCTTTCCCATAGGGGAATCTCTGACAACAATTCTCTCAACCAACTCGTCTCTTCACTAGCCGTTGCTAGTGCTATCATCTCTGATTCCATAGTTGATTGAGCTAGGATTGTTTGTTTCTTAGACTTCCAAGACACAGCTCCACTAGCAATGTTAAAAACATACCTGCTGGTGGCCTTGGAGTGATCTGATAGGGTATTCCAATCCGCATCACTATACCCTTCTAGTACAACAGGAAACCTTTGATAGTGAATATCAAGGTTTGCTGTTCTCTTGAGGTATCTCATGACCCTCTCTATAGCATTCCAATGCTCTCTACTAGGACAACTGTTAAACTTGCCAAGCAATCCCACGACATATGCCATGTCTGGTCAAGTGTAATCCGCAGCATAACGGAGACTTCCAATGATGCTAGCATACTCAGTTTGTCTTACATTGTCTCCAGTGTTCTTAAATAGCTTTACACTAGCATCATACGGAGTACACACAGGTTTACAGTCGAAATAGTTATATTTCTTCTTGATCTTCTCTATGTAGCTAGATTGATCTAGAGAATAACCATTTGTTGTTCTAGTTATCTGGATTCCAAGCATAAACTTTGCTTCTCCCAGATCTTTCACCTCAAAGCTCTCTTTCAACATGGCTTTTGCTTCATTGACCACGTGAATATTTGTACCAAATATCAACATGTCATCTACATACAAACATATGATAGTGCAAGTGTTATTCTCTGACCTGCAGTAAATACACTTATCACTTTCATTCACCTTAAAGCCATGTGAGAGAACGAGAGTGTGAAACTTCTCATACCACTGTTTTAGAGCCTGTTTCAAACCATATAATGGTTTGTCTAGATACTGGTGAATAGATATCGAAGAAATCTATATTCTTTTTCTGCCTGTAGCCCTTAACTACTAGGCGAGCTCGGAACCTTTCAATTGCACCATCAGGTTTCCGTTTCTTTTTTAGAACCCATTTATTACCTAAGACTTTGTATCCAGGAGGTAAGTCTGTTAGATGCCAAGTCTTATTGGCTTCCAACGATTCCATTTCATCTATAACGGCCTCATTCCAAAAATCTTCATCTATGGAAGTTAAAGCTTCTTGCAAACTTTTGGGATCTTCGAGAGTGTATACTATATAGTAAAGTAATCACCAAAATATTTAGAGATTCTAGCTCTTTTTCTTCTTCTGAGTTCATCCTTAGATCCAATACCCCCATTAGTTCTGTTATCTCTAATAGCGGGTAGTACATTACCCCCACTATTTCTCGTCTTAAATGGGAATCGTGTCTCAAAGAAATCAGCATCAATGGATTCTATTATAGTACAAGCATTCAAATCACATAATCTATAAGTCTTACTATTGTCCGCATAGCCAACGAAGACACATTCATATGCTCGACTAGCCAACTTAATCCTCTTAGGATCCGGAATTCTTACGTAGGCCAAACAGCCCCGCGTTCTTAAATAGGAAAGATTAGGTGGCTTATTCTTCAAGATCTCATAGGGTGATTCTTTTCTATTTGTTTTTGGAAGACGATTTAGCACATAGAAAACCGTCAACAAAATATCACCCCACCAAGAAGAAGCAGCTCTAGAATGGAGCATAATAGCCACAACTAATTCTGTAAACGTCCTACTGTTCCGCTCAGCTTTACCATTCATTTCTTGTGAATATGGTGTTGTGGTTTCATGAATGATACCAGGTGAGCTTTAGAATTCATTGAAGGTATTAGAGTCATACTCTGATCCTCTATCACTCTTAAGTCTTTTTATCTTTCGATTACACTGATTTTCAAATTCAACCACAAATACCTTGAAAATATCAAGGGCTTCACTTTTGTTTTTCATCAAATAAACAAGGCAATAATCAGAGCAATCATCTATGAAAGTGATAAAGTATCTCTTGTCAGATCTAGTTAATGTCCCATCTAGTTCACAAATATCAGAATGAATCAGATCTAAGGGTTCTGATTCTCTACTCACATATTTATGGGGCGTTTTCGTTATCTTGGCTTGGCTACAGAAATCACATTTATCAAATTCATTCATTGAGAGTTTAGGGATATGTCCTAACTTGCTTAAATTCTTCACAATTCGTGTGTTCACATGACAAAGACGAGCATGCCAAACATTCAAATCACACAGCATGTAAACTGAAGAATTCATCTTATTAATTTCGACATTCAACTTGAACATCCCATTACATGCATATTCCTTTCCCACACAACTCCCATTCTTAGTAAAGGTATACAAGTCTGTCCCAAAAGATTGATTAAACCTAGCCTTATTAAGAAGATATCCTAAAACAAGATTCTTTCTTATCTCTGGAGTGTGCAACACATCCTTGAGAACCATCTTCTTCCTAGAGGTGAAGTTCAGCTCCACTTCACCAGAACCAGCAACCATAGTGGTGTGGGTAGTCCTCAGCAGCACTTTCTTGTCAGCAGGTGCTTTTGTGTATGTTTTAAACATAGCACGATTATTGCATACATGCTTCGATGCACCTGTATCCAGCCACCATCCTTATGAGTCACCGGTGAGGTTGACTTCAGCGATCATATCTGTGATCATGGATACCAAGTACTCTTCTCCCAAGTTAACCCTGGCCGCTGCAGCAGGGTTATGCTTGTTCCGGCATTTTTTTGCCATATGACCTGGTTTACCGCAGTTATAGCAGATAAATGGTGGGCCATTCTTAGAGGTTTGGGCCATGACCCTTTGGTTACCTCGAGAGGCACCATTCTGGCGGGGGCGGACATGCTGGTTCTTACTATTGAAACCTTTCTGGTTAGGTTTAAAAGCTCCAGGGGTGGTTCGTTTAGCAGTGATGACCATCACCTCTTCTTTCATATCCTGCTTGCGGGACTCTTCCTCAATCCTTAGGCGAGTAATCAAGATTTCTAGTGAAAATTCTTTAGTTTTATGTCTAAGCATATTCTTAAAATCTTTCCACGAAGGGGGCAGCTTATCAATAATGCAAGCAACTTGAAACTGATCATTCAGAGGCGTAACTTCAAAAACGATCTTATGAGCTATTTTTTGAAGTTTGTGGGATTGAACTTTGACGGACTTGTCATCCACCATCAGGTAGCGCAGGTAGAGGCTGACATCATACTTCTTAGCTCCAACCTCATCTGTGTCGTACTTCTTTTGGAGCGCATCCCAGACCATCATTGCAATATTCTTGTTGTCTGCATAGTAGTCGTAGAGATCATCGGCCAAGCCGTTGAGGATGTAGTTCTTCCACAGGAAGTCATGCTCCCTTTCCTTAGCAGAAGTAGCCCTCTCCTCATCGGTCGCTTCTTCCGGCTGCTCGACGGGCATGCTGGTGAGGCAGTGTGCCAACTTCTTGGTCGTCAGGTAGAACTCCATCTTTTGTCTCCAACGATGGAAGTTGACTCCCACGAAGCGGAAGGGTCGATTGATATCGACATCACCAGATTCGGCCATGTTGTTCTGTTCAGTCGACATAGCAGCAGTCGAACGTCTTAAAATTGTTAGGAACGGAACAACAACAAGAACGAGGTTACCGAATTTGGAGCTGAGTCGCTGACTAGGTCGCTTTCTTTAAGACGTTCGCGACACTGCCCTCGATGCGCACGACAGACTATCATCCGGTCGTCTCCAGAATAAAAACAACTCCTCAAATGCTCGGCGGTTTTGTGCGTTGGAGCTCTCTGAACACTCTATTGTGTTTTTGCTCGTTGTGGTGTGTTTAGACGGGCTGGGGAGGCGGCTATTTATAGGAGCCGAACCCCTAGAATATACCCTCTTACTTGGGGAATAAGTCAGATTAATTAAGGAAGATAATTACTTCCTTAATTAAAATGCGTTTATAAGATAATTCCTGACAGAATTATCCTTTGAATATTCCTTTTGAATGACTATCTTCGTATCTGTTAAGGATACAAGATAATCAAGTCATAATTAATTAATTAATAATTAATTTCGGACGGACAGCGCGCGCGCGTGTGTGATGGTCCGTTAGGTCCACCCTCGCCCACAAAAGTGGGTCACCCCAAGGGGCAATGCCCTTAGGAGAGAGGATCCTATTCTTATACACATATCATAAGAGTAAAACTAGCAATGTGGCCATTTTTCCTTTGAGATTTATAGTTTTCAAAACTATTCAATTTTCATTCATTTCCAACATAAATTCCTTAAGATTGTTGAGGACATTGTTTACGTATACCATATTTTCTTGTAAAACAAGTCACATACATAAATAAAAAATAAAGTGACAAAAGGTTAAGCAGAAGAAATCATGACTCATGCATAAACAACGTCTGAGCCAATAGAATTCACTATTTCTCTTTAAGGAATTTAGTTCCCCTCTACGGTACCCAAGGTTATGGAACTATTCCTCCCAGGATAGAACAGACGTACCTTTTCTGGCGTACCAGTACTTGAAACCCCAGAAACCATCGAACACAACGAACGGCGAGAAGTCACACGACTCTATTTTCTTTTATGTTTTTGTAAAGAGGAAAAATGAAATGAAAAAGAAAAAAAACACATTTTCTTTCTTTCGGCCACAAAAAACCTTGTAGGAAAACTCACGTATGAAAACAGGGGGGTTGGTTCTATTTATAGAAAATGAAGGGATGTGTGTGAAGGGATGTGACCCTTCGGGTCGGTGGTTACACCACAACAAACATATTGGTTTGTTTTAAAATTATAAACCATTGCGTCAGTTCGTCCCATGATAGTTGGACCGGTTGGTTCACTCCAACCGCCACATCGATTTGAATCAAATCAATTTGGTCCAGTTGGTTATACAAACCAATATGACCAATTACCAAAAGATTTAATTAATCAATTGGCCGAATCTAGGACCCCCTTCCCATATATAACCAATTGGGTATTTCAAGAGTTTCTCTTGACTCATTCCTCTCCTTTTTTTTGTAGAAAATGGGACGCTAAAAGGGCGCCCCTGCCTGACACTTAAATTAATCGGGTTTGGGAGATTCCCAAAATGTCATTCAAAATCTAGAAGGACAGACCCGGGTCTGTACTCTCAAAATCATGGAAGCCTATACTAACAGAGTGGCCTTTATTAGCAAGGAAATCGACCACTTTGTTTCCTTCTCTATGGATGTGGGAAATTCTGACTGCCCAGTTCTGCTGAAGTAACCCTTGAAACTGAAGGACCAGATTATGGTACATGTGCTCCGTCTGATCCTGTGAGGTAAGGATGTTGATGGCAGTAGTGGAGTCCAATTAGAGGAGACTTTCCTGTACCCTTTCTTCCAAGCTATCTGCAAGCCTCGAATGGCCGCCATAATCTCTGCTCGGGTAATCGTGCACACGCCGAGGTTTTCCACAAAAGCTCCCATACATTTCTCCATCCAGTCCCGGACAATGCCACCCCCTACTGCTTCCGATCCTGGTTGCTTCACTAAACTGTCGGTATTGACACACATCCAATCTTGTGGTGGCGGTATCCAAGCGAGCCGTTGTGAAGTCTTCTTGGGCGCTTCTTTATGTGAGCATGTGTCATTTTCCTGGGCTTGCCTGATAGTTGACGTCCAACATCCAATGTGTTGTGCCAAGACATGATCATCTTGAGTCAGGTTGTGGAAGACCTTCTCATTCTGTCTTTTCCATAGATACCAAGCTGCCACACCGAACATAAGCCTTTCCTGATCCCTCTTAAGATGTTCATCTAGCCAAGCTGCAAACCCAAGTCCGTAAGTATGAACTGTCTCCTGAATACCCAGCCTATACCATACCTGTATGGTACTCGGACACTGGCGCATCATGTGTTCAGTGGTTTCCGACCCGTTTCTGCACATCGGACACGTATCGCCCGTCGTCAGTTTCCTCTTCTTGCGCTGTGCATTCGCCATCAGCCTGTCATGAAAAACCAACCACAAAAAATGTTTAATACGGTTCAGGCCCGCCCATTTCCAGAGTCGCTTCCAGTGATGTTGGTCATTCGCCTCCGTCGTCTCCCGCTCCTCGTCACTCAGCCACTCTACTGCAGCGGAATAGGATGAACGCGTCTTGAACTTTCCATCTGACTCTCCATACCCCAAGCGGTAATGTCTTCACCCGATCCCGACATGGGAAGGTCCGTACCTGCAATCAGGGCAAACAAATTCTCAGTCAGGTGTGGCGCAAAGTCGTGCCACTTCCACTCACCTTCGTTAGTGACCATCTCGGCAACGGTGGCATGCTAGTTGATTCCCTCGCCACTGCCTGTGATATGCTCACTCAAGATAGTTCCCTCGACAATCCAAGGATCCGTCCAAAATTGGACATTGTGACCTTCCCGAATGTCCCACACAACCTGCTGCTTGAGGATAGGCCAGGTATCAACAATTCCTTTCCAAAGCAGCGAGAAGTTACTTTTCTTCATGACCAGAGCCCCTGCCTCATTGACTTTGAATTACTTTCCTTGCATGATACGAATCCAAAGCTCCTCCAACTTTTTCAAGAAAGCCCACCCCAGCTTCATAATGTAGGCCAAGTTGAGAGCTCTAGCAGATCGCATGCCCAGGCCGCCAAACTCCTTTGGTTTACAAATGGTTTCCCATTTGACCAAATGAGTCTTGGAGACTCCGTCTTTTGCTCCCGAGATAAAGGCTCGTACTTTCCTATCGATGGTGTCACAGACAGAGACGAGAAGAACAGTCGTTTGCATGACATAGTTCGGAAGGGCATTAAGAACCGAAGCCGCCAAAGTAACTCTTCCTTCCTGGGAGAGACTCCTCGCCTTCCATCCTGAAAGACGTTGATCAATCTTCTCCAAGATGAACTTGTAGGTATCTTTGGAGACTCTGTCGTGGATGACCGGAACACCCAAGTAGCGCCCCAGGTTGCTGGTTTGCTTGATCCCCAGCATGTCGCTTATACTTTTCTTCAGGTTCTCCTTGATGTTTTTCGAGAAGAAGACACAAGATTTGTCTTTGCTAACTTGTTCCCCCGAGGCCTCACAAAACCGGTTTAGACAGGTTAGGACCTCTTCTCCTTGCTTTGGATCAGCCTCCGCAAATAATACCAGGTCATCTGCAAAAAAATAAGTGAGTAAGTGCAGGGCCATTCTTAGACAAAGTAATAGGTCTCCAAGCTTTCCTATCTACAGAGTCCTTGATGCAGTGATTTAGTCTTTCAATACATAAAGTAAAGAGATAAGGTGAAAGAGGACATCCCTACCGAAGACCCCTAGTAGGTTGAAACGGTTCGGTACATCCACCATTCCAAAGCACCTGGAAATGAACAGTCGTCACACAAGCCATGACCAGTTTGACGAAATCATCAGGGAGACCAGCCGCCTGCGGTGTTGATTCCAGGAATTTCCAATTAACCCTGTCATAGGCTTTGGCCAGGTCAATTTTTAGAATCATTTGTCCTTTGACTCCCGTCCTGAGTGACATAGTGTGAACCACTTCCTGTAGGATGGTGAAGTTGTCTGTGATATGTCTCTTAGAGACAAAGCTTGACTGGCTTGGGTCGATAAGCTGAGGCATAAACTTTTTGAGCCGGTTCGCCAAACACTTGGCCATGACCTTGTAGCTCACATTACATAGGCCAATGGGCCTGAACTGAGCTACTTGCTTCAGAGAATCCACCTTGGGTAGCAACACCAGGAGGGTTTCATTGCATCTCTTGATCCGCTCCGGATTCCTGAAACAAGCAACAATGTGATCATGGAAATCAACTCCCACCCTATCCCAGCATTTCTGGTAGAAGGTACCATGGAAGCCATCCTTCCCTGGTGCCTTTAGCCCTCCCATCTCTTTAATTATTTGGTACGTCTCCTCAAGAAGCGGGTTGGCTGCAAGATGCAACGTCATATTCTTGGTCAAAACATTGAAAAGTGCTGGGATAACTTGCTGCCCCACGCTGTCATCCGAGTAAAGCCGGACATAGAATTCCCTAGCCATAAGTTTCAGCGTCTCTGGATCCTCGATCCAAGTCCCATCCTCCCGTTGTAGCTTGGTTATTCTATTCTTCTGGCGTCTCGTGAAAGCAACAATGTGGAAATATCGAGTATTCCTGTCCCCATTCACAATCTGATTAGCCCTCGCCTTCTGAAGCCACATGAGCTCTTCTTGCCATAAAGTATGCTCAAGTTCCTCCCGAATCTGCCCTTCTCGTCTTAGGGATGCGTCACTCACTACCGTCTTGTTCTGAATCTCCAGGCGGGTAAGCTGCTTTGACAGTTTAGCTTTCCTCCAGAATATGTTCCCCAACACCTCTTTGTTCCAACGTGTGAGATGTGCTTGAAGATCCTTCAAAGACAACAAACAGTCCCTTCTTCGGTTCCACGAGGCATCAAGCGTAGAAGGAAAGTCCTTATGAGCTAACCACGGCACTAGAAACTGGAAAGGTCTTACCTGCCTAGGGGGGGTATGGTCATTGTTACTGCAGATGAGGATTGGCCTATGGTCCGAGCGGAGCTTCGGTAGGTTCGTTGAAACTGTATCTGGGAATTGTCTGATCCACTCCTGGTTGCATAAGGCTCTGTCAAGGCGATGGGAGAGCCTCCCATTACTCCAGGTGAACTTAGGACCGGTAAAACCAACATCTAGAAGCCCACAATCCCGAATGCACGCATTGAAGCTAGCCGTTTTGCTCGGATTGTACTCAGCTCATCCTTTGCGCTCTGAAGGGAAGGTGATGGAATTAAAATCTCCCGCTAAAAGCCATGGCCTCTCAATGTTCTGCTCTAGCCTTCGAATGGCCGCCCACAAGGGTGGCATGTCATGGTCATTAGGCTTAGCGTAGATCGCAGTTAAGAGAACTGAATTTCTATTCTGGTCTGTGCACAAAAGATGGAGGAATTGTGAGTCTCGATCCAATTCTGTTATCGCAAGGTTAGTATCCATCCAAAGAATCCAAATACCACCGAAAAAACCAATAGCATCCACCATAATGTGTTTATCAAACCCCATAGACTTGATAACATCTTCTGCATCCTCGCCATTGATCTGTGACTCAATAATGAAGACAATATTGGGTCTATGGGTGAACACATACTCCTTAAAAGTTGCAAGAAACTTGGGGTGTTTTGCCCCCCGGCAATTCCAACTGAATATATTAAACATAAGTAAATAAAAAGAGGAGAAGTAAAAGCAGACTTCCCTGACTTGCAGGAGCAGAAGGGTCTTCGCTTAATTAGCTGACTCCGCCAACGGAGCTCCATTTTCCACCTGTGCGGCATCAACAGACGCCTGGTCTCCTTCAGTTCCAGTGGTCTGAGGTTCGGTAATTTCATTCATGGGAACATTGTCCTCCCTGGTTCCCAGAATAGGAGCTCCAGCGGGCGGTAGGTATTGGAGTTGGACAAGGAGTTCCTCGACAGCTTTGCGATGGCTGGAATTGCTATGCTTCTTTTGTGGTCGCTTACCGTTTCCTGTTCCAGGTCGCAAGCCGTGGCTCTTCTTTGCTACCCGGAGGTTGGTATCCTTCTTCTTCTTGGGAGGGGAACAAACTCGCCTTGACTTACCTATGTGATGTTCTCGAATAGAGTTACTCTCGCGGGGAACCGCATCTTCTCCTAGAGCCGAAAGGCCACCGCCGAGAGGGGGAATCAGTTTGGCTGAAGAGGGCTTGTGGGCCGGGTTCAAATCAGTGGGCTCAATTTTGGTCTGGTCTAGCATTGTTAAGTCAGCCCCTGATTTCCCTATGGGTTGTGAGTCTGAGGCAATAGAGGCCTTCTTGGTCTTAAGGCCCACCATACGCCACACCTGTGTTGGGTCTGTAGCTTGACTTTCCTTAGTTAGGTTGGCCTCACTGTCGTTAGCCTTCCCCAACTACGATATAAACTTTCCCTTTTTTGGTTCCCCTTTCTGATCCTCCTTACCTTTCCTGTCCTTCATAGTAGCTGTGTTACCTTGTTCGTTTTTGGGGTTCTTTCCCAATTTGGTCGGCTCTTTCCCAGCGTCGTTGTTTCTGCCCGTTAGATTTCCTGGGGCGGATCCGGGGTTGGCCTGGCCTTTCCTATTTTGATTGCGCGATTTACGCGCCACCTGCATCCATGGGCCATATCCAAGCGGTGGCTCCGGCGGTTGGTCCTCCGGTAACCGGAGCAGATCAGACGAGCACGCCTGGAGAACGTTCGCCAGCGGATTGTGTAGCTTGGGGCATGCAACTTCAGAGTGCCCAATTCGGCCGCACTCGAAGCATATCTCCGGCTGGTTCTCATAAACCACTTGTTTCCAGAACCGTTGAGTCGGATCCGCGTCTTCATAGGCTTTGTCATGTCGAGCTCTACAGCGATACGAGAGAATTTTCCTCTTTCCATGTGTTCCGTATGATAATCAAGTTTTGACCATTCTTCCCAATAGGTTCCCTAGGGCGAAGAGCACTTCCCGACGGTAAAAGTGAACCGGTAGCTCTGGTAGTTGCACCCATGCTACCACAGACCGGTGAGGTTTGTTAGAAACCGAATAGAAAAATTAGGGTTACCGGTCAAGCTGAGTCGCGGACTAGGTCGCTCTCTTTAAGACGTTTGCGGCTCTGCCTCGTTATTCGCACAACAGTCTATAAGCCGGTCGCCTCCACGATAAAAAAACCACTCTTTTGATTTGCTCAGCGGTTTTGTGTGGAAAACCGGAGCTCTTTGAATCTCACTCTCTCTCGTGTTTCTGCTCTCTGAGATGTGTTTAGAGGGTTTAAGGGTCTGCTATTTACAGGAGCAGAAAACCCAGAATATTCCCTCTTTCTTTGGAAATAAGTCACATTTTAATTAGGAAGATAATTACTCCCATAATTAAAATATATTATATTATGATAATTAATCCTAATTATCTCCATAATATTCCTTTTATTAATTATCCATCTTATATTCGTATCTAGAAAGAATAATGGATAATTCAATATAGCTTTCAAAGCTATTCATTCCCAACAATACCCCACTTGAATAGTTTTGAAACTATCTCTGAGCATCAACATATCCATAAGATCGGGCATAAGCTAAGGTATCGCGAAGATTTGAACCTTGCGTAGTGGTTACACTTCCGATTTCATAAGGGTGACTAGTAGTCTTGAACCTTATCTCAGAAAATGTAGCACACCGAATCTTTTCATTGAGTGATATTCTCTCATAGGTCGTGCGTTTATGGCCATGCACGTTATCCCGGTTTAGTAAACGCTCTAGCAACTTTGTGCCTCCAAAGTTCCATAAGGAGCGGCCTCACTCCCACATTCACATAGGTGAGTCTATCAGAAGTACCCCCAAAGTAAAGTACTTCACTCCACATAGAGTATATATCTCATTAAGAGTTTAACTCAACCTCCAAGGCTTTGGGATTCATTCTTCACCATGCATGAACTTTTCTCAATATTACTCATGACTTGTTATTACCCATTGAACCCGTTTCTTGGGATCTCCAGTCTATCGGGTCGGGTTACCATCACTTGTAATCCATGGTTCGGTAGGCATAAGTCTCGTGCCTTCGTGGTATTTTGGACTTTTCTTTCTAGATAATCATTTCGTCTAGATTCTATTAGGATCTTATATGATCCACCCTCATTGCTCCTATCATTAGGAGTTCTCTTACAGTACTGTGCTTACAACGAATTTGTCGTCTCTTTTCATTCTAGAACCGGTTCCCTTCTTTAGTAATAGTTGCGGTGCTATCACAATGAATCAACTACCGGATGGATCGGTCTTTCCCATAAGGGAATCTCCAATAATGACCCTCTCAATCAACTTTCCTCTTTACTAGCTATTGCTAGCTCTATCTTTTTTTATTTCTTAGTTGATTGAGCCAGGATCGTTTACTTCTTAGAATTCCAAGACACAATACTTCCAGTGATGTTTAAAACATGTCCACTGGATGCCTTGGAATCTTCTATAGGGTATTCTCGTCCGCATCAATATACCCTACCAATACAGCAAGAAACCGTTGATAACTTATATCAAGGTCTACTGTTCTTAAGGTGTCTCATGACCCCTTTCAATAGCATTTCAATGCTTCATACTAGGACAATCAGTAAGCCCGCCAAGTACCCCCCACTAAATCGGGTATCATGTTTATAAGCTACCTCCTGCAGACTGTAAATGCTAGTATATTCTAGCTTTCTTACACCGTCTTAGGTATCTTTAAATATTTATACGAGCATCATCAAACATGTATGCAAGTGTACATCTTGTATTTTCCTAGTTATTAGGATCTCTAAGTATAACATTTGTTTCATTCAGATCCTTCACATTCAAAATTCTCAACCATCATGGTTTTTCAATATTGACATCACGAGTCTTTGTACCAAAGATCGACGTGTCATTCATAATGCAAGTGTAATTCTCAAATTTGTACTAAATGCACTTGTCACTTTCACTTTTAAAACCATGAGAGAGAACCATTTTATTCATGTCATCATCTTAGAGTCTATTTCAAATCTTACAACGATTTGTCTAACTATAGACTCCCTAAGCATGTTCAGGAATAACAACCCTATAGGTTGTCCCATGTAGATTTTCCTATCTAAATCACCATTCACAGAAACATGTTTAACAATCCATCTGACGCACAACACTAGCAATCAGAACATACATGGATGTTATTCTACATATGGTGAATAGATAACAAGAAAATTTACAATCTTTTCCTTTTCGCTTAAAGCCTTAGCTATTAGGCGATCCTTATACTCATAAACTAAACCAATAAGTTTCACTTTTCTTTCAAGAATCCATTTATTACCCATGACTTCATTGCCAAGAGATAATTCTCAAAGATGTCAAATCTTGTTGATTCTATCGATATATTACTCAAGGCTTTTCAACCAAGAGGTAACTCTACAAGATTTTAAGTCTTATTAGACTCCAATAATTCCATTTCGTTAATAATGGATTCTCCCACAATTCTGCATCTTTATGGAAGTTCGAACTTCTATCAGACTTGTATGATCTTTCTTTCTTAAGGTGTAAATAACAAATTCATAACCAAAATCCTTTCGTGATTTATGGTTCATTTGTCTCTTCTGAGTTCATACTCAGATTCATCACCAAACTAGTTATCCATTATTTCTAATGGTAGGCAGGATATCACCCCCACTATTTCTTAATATAAATGGAATCTATTGACATCAATGGTTTACACAAACTAATTAGTATTTCGTTTCATAGGCTTATGTGTTTTACAATAACTTACACACTCATATGCTCTTCTAGTTATCATGTCACTGATTCTCTAACGCTACCACATGCATGCCACATATCGAATAATCAGTGCAATCATAATGCAACTAGGCATTTCAAACTATTTCGAATAACTAGTTAGACAATCAGAGCACTCTAAAGAGCAATAAATTATTTATTGTCTTTTCCATCAAGTTTACCCATATCAACATAAATCAGATCTATTGATTCTGATTCTCTAACCACATATTTTATGGGTAATTTTGCTTGGATACAAAAATTTTATTTATCTCAAGCGTTCGAGAATAATATGGGAATGTTACTTTAGATATTCTAATTCTTTACAAGGACACACACATCCCAAAAAAGAATCCATCTTAGATCTTCTATCACAGACATGCCTTGGGGCGCTTGTATCCAACAACCATTCTCCAAAGTTACCATTAAGGCTAACCTCTGTCATCACCTAAGAAATTATTATTGCCAAATCCTCTTCTTTAATCAAGTTAACACAATACTATGTTAAACTTGCTCTAACACTTTCGTGTCATATGACCCAGTTTTTCTCAAATTTAATTGAGAAACATAGTGTCATTCTTAGAGAATTGTGTGACAATCTTATGGTTACCACGATGGGTATCATTCTAATTGGTGTGGATCTGGTTCAGCTTGCTGCTCTCATTCTTGAAACTTTAATGTTTCACAGCAACCTAAGTGGTTCGTGTAGTACTGATAATAGTACTTCTTATAATATCGTTATTATGGGCAGTAAACCCATTCTATTCCCATATATTCTTCACATATATGCATGCATTTAAACAAAATTATTCTACTCCACAACATGTATTCAATTGATATTCTAATCATCGAGGTAATACACCTCAATGTCGACATATACATGCATCTAAATTGCTTTCTAGCATTCACAAGGTTTCTCAATTTTATGCAGAAATTCATATGAAATTGATTCTAGTTAATCATTAATTAATGACTCAGAGGAAGGTTTCAGCTCTTACCACATTTCCGAGAAACCTCAGCCTTTTGAATTTGGAGTGAATATCAATTCTTTGAACTGGAGCAATAAAGGTGCCCGTTCCAGCATTTTGGAAGAGCAATTCTTCCATCCTTCCCCTTGACCTCGTTATCTCGTCATGAATGAAAAGAAAGGTCAGTTTATAGTGTGGTTCCACACATAATCAACTAAATAAATACAGAAACCAAATCAAGAAAATCTATTCTTTCTTTTCTAGTGTTTCCGCTGTAAGGGTTAGGTAGTGGCAGTTGAATTCGACGGGGCCCTTTTCTATTATTTTGGCTCGGAGCGAAATTGAATGGCCCAATGATTGAGCCAGCTTGCCGGCCCAAACCCTGTCCATCGCGCGCATGGTTCCAAGTTCCAGCCAACCCAGGTAATCCCCATTCAGATCTTCGACCCTATTTTCGCGTTCCACTCCAGGTAGATTACTCACAGCTACTGAGTCGATTGATGCATGTGAGTATAGTCGTTTCGTCTTTTAGTAAACGCTGATGGAGGGTTCCCCCAAGCGATCTGGCTGACAATTCTTTTAGCGGCAGCCTTTGATTTTCCTGGACCAAGACAACCACTGGCCTTCTCGCTTGTGTGCTCGGCCACCGTTGTGATACTTCCTCCGCCATCCCGCTTACTTCCGGTTCCTCTCCGTTTAGCAGTCGGTTGATGAAACATTGATCGATATTGAATTACTTTGATTAGTTGCAACCTGCAAGGAGAAATACTCAACCACGTGGAGCTAGCTGTGAAAACGCTTGCCCAATCACAAATTTCGGACCGACATCAATCGTGAAGTCGATCGTCTAGTTTTCCCTCCGTTCCTTTCCTTGGCTTGGGTAAATTTTCCTTTCCAATTCGCAAGGGAGTTTTTTCTTATGGCACGCAGGGGAGTTTTTTCTTATGACTCGTGTTTGATAGCGAGCGACGGCGCGCACGCATGGCGGCGAGCGATGATTTGGATTTGTTGAAGCCAGATGGATAATCCAACCTGTTCGGTAATCATGACAGCAACCAAAGTTTTAAAATTGTTAGAAACCGAACAGAAAAATTAGGGTTACCGATCTGGCTGAGTCGCGGACTAGGTCGCTCTCTTTAAGACGTTCGCGGCTATGCCTCGTTATTTGCACAGCAGTCTATCAGTCGGTCGCCTCCAGGATAAAAACAACCACTCTTTTGATTTGCTCAGCGGTTTTGTGCGGAAAACCGGAGCTCTTTGAATCTCACTCTCTCTCGTGTTTCTGCTCTCTGAGATGTGTTTAGAGGGTCTAAGGGTCTGCTATTTATAGGAGCAAAAAACCCAGAATATTCACTCTTTCTTTGGGAATAAGTCACATTTTAATTAGGAAGATAATTACTCCCATAATTAAAATATATTATATTAAGATAATTAATCCTAATTATCTCCATAATATTCCTTTTATTAATTATCCATATTATATTCGTATCTAGAAAGAATAATGGTTAATTAATTCAATATAGCTTTCAAAGCTATTCATTCCCAACAAGGTTTATCCAACGTTCGAAAAGTGTGTGACCATTGATGGACGATCAAATAATGATCAAGGATCACCCATGGCCCGCCGCTGAGGGCGTTAAGATAGTCCTTCTCATTGCTGAAGTTAACCAGGAATGTCGAGTTGTTCAGGTCAAGGATCTCCATACTCCCAGAAGGTTTCCATCTCCAACGGAGCTGCGAACAAAGGTATTGGTAAGAAACGAATTTCCCCAGAAGCCGCACAACCAACGTGCGCTTCCAGGGTAAGCAGAGTCGTTCTTTGAGCTGGGTCGAGATCTTTAACTAAGGCTCGCCATTATAGAGCCCGACTTCCAAGTCATGCTCGCCGATGAAGGTCCACTGCTGGGCCTTGGCCGGATATGAAACCGGGGTCCCCGCAAGCGCCGATTTGTAGCTCAAAGGTGGCGAGAGTGGTGTGCATTGCGCGATTGGTGACGAGGGAAAAAGAAACGTAGAAGAGTGGTCTGGCGGCCTACCCGAAAGAGCCATATCGGCCTCCAGCGGGTTGCAGGTAGTCGGATGGACAAAGAGCATTTTAGAGAATTCGAAAAATGAGGATTAGATGAAGTAGAGGTTTCCCTAAACTCATTCCTCTTTCATTTCCATTCACACCAAAATAATCCTAACAAACTTATGCCATGTGCACAGTACGGTATGCAAAATGCATGGAGCCCTGCCCTATTAAAATCCGGAAAAAATCCAAAACTACCACTGTTTAAAAAAAATTACAAAAATACCACCCACACCAAATAATTTCCAAAAATACCATCGTTTATATAAAACTGCGCCTCTAATGAGCGATTTTTAATAAAACTGCGCCTCAAGGCAGCGTTTTACATTATAACCGCTCCTCCAGGCAGCGTTTTTAATTTCCAGAACAAAACGCTTCTGGAAGGCGCGGTTATAGGCTAACCCTACCACAAAACGCTTCAAGAGGGAGCGTTTAATTGTCGGCATTACAAACCGCCTCCCCAAGCGGCGGTTTACAATGTCAGGACATAAACCGCTGCCCCAAGGCGCGGTTTGTGCCTGGTCACCCGACAGCCAACATGTCGGACATGTCGGCATGCAGGGGGTAGGGCTGGTAGGGCTGCATGGCAGACCTAAAACCGCTCACCCCCCCCCCCCCCCCCCCCCCCAGCGGCTTTGCTGCAAAATTTGCCTATAAAAGGCGGTTTCAGAGAACTCAATTCTTCACACCTCCTCCTCTTCCTTCTTAAAATTTCAGCTTTAAATTATTTAGTTTTTGCGATTAACGTTAATTCGTAAGTTTGTTTCGTAATTACTTTTCATTGTCCTTTGTGATGTTATGTTAGTAACTGAATTACTTTTCATTGTCATTTGTGATTTTATGTTAGTAACTTAATTACTTTCATTGTCATTTGTGATTTTATGTTAGTAACTTAATTACTTGTCATTGTCATTTGTGATTTTATGTTAGTAACTTAATTACTTTTCATTGTCCTTTGTGATTTTATGTTAGTAACTTGTATTAGTTTTCATTGTCATTTGTGATTTTATGTTAGTAACTTAATTACTTTTCATTGTCCTTTGTGATTTTATGTTAGAAACTTATTTACTTTTCATTGTCATTTGTGATTTTATGTTAGTAACTTAATTACTTTTCATTGTCATTTGTGATTTTATGTTAGTAACTTAATTACTTTTCATTGTCATTTGTGATTTTATGTTAGTAACTTAATTACTTTTCATTGTCCTTTGTAATTTTATGTTAGTAACTTGTATTACTTTTCATTGCAGATGGAATGGTTACACGGAAGAGACCGAAAAGGGTGTAAGTTACGTCGGTGGCAATTTTTATAAAATGAAGGTCCGTACGAGACCGATGCTTGAAGAGCTCCATCAAATGTGCACTCAGATTACCTGCATGGATGGCAGTAGAAGAGTTGATCGAATGGTGTATCGATATCCAAACAGACATGACGGGTCGCTGTGGAATGAGGAATTCCTCCTTACCACTCAGGAGGACGTTGATGCCATGGTCCAATTTTTTACCACCAATAAAATTAAGCAAGCGGAGATGTTCGTTTACACTGAGGTATCCAGCGGAGATGTTTTTTGACCACCAATAAAATTAAGCAGTGTAGGTCATTCTGGAGATGGCCAAACATCTGGTATCCACGGTGGGAGTGTATTATATGAAGATCATCCCCACCAGGATTTCCAAGAGTCGAGCTGGAGGCAGGAGTATCATCATGGAACTGGAGGAAGTCATCAATCCTTCCCTTCATATGAAGAAGAAGCTCAACAGGCGAATTACAACCAACAAGCAGGTTACCAGTACCCACCCGAGTACAACTTCTATCAAAGCGGTGTTAGTTACCACAACTACCATTACGGAGCTAGTGAAGGTGAAGGTGCCTTTCATGCTGATAATCAGATGGAAGAAGAGGTCAATCCAAGTCCAGTTAGTGACCCTGAGGTTGAAGAAGAGGAAGGAGAAGTTAGTGCAGACGTCTCTTGAACGATGATTTGCTTGATCGTATAAAACTGTCGGATCAATCGGTCCTTGATCAACATAATATCGTTGATTGAAAATATCAACATCCGGCCCAACCTACGATAGCATAACAATAACATAAATCATTAGTATATAAATTAAATAAATCATTATAACAACAACAATTGGAAAAAATGAGTACGTACCGTTTGATAATCATCATAAAAAAGGCCCTCTTCTTGAGCGAAATCGGTCATTCTCTCGGAATCCGGACAGAGGTTCGACGGTTTTTTAGTGAAAACCAAAGAAAAAGTTTTTGGAGGCAGATCGGACTTAGCCGCAACCAACAAAAAAGCTAATTCTAAGGTTTTTGGGTGGGGAGGGGGGTGGGTAGAGAGAAGTTAGAGGGAGAGAGGGGGGGGGGGGGAATGTGGTTGGTGTGCAGAAAAATGAAGGGGAGGGGGGTTTATATAGTTGAGAAACCGCGTGGGGGAGGGTCGGTTCTGTCATTTTACCCCACCGAAAACCGCGCCTCCAGCACGCGGTTTGCGTTTCCCAACAGTCAAACCGCGCCTCGGGGGAGCGGTTTCCGTGGGCGACGCGGATCGCTGATTTGGCACACGTTTTGGCAGTCAGATTGCTCCTCCAACGGGCGGTTTGATGCACCGCCACGTGGCAACGCGGTTTGACAGCCATGCAAGGTCAAACCGCGCCTTGGAGGCGCGTTTTGTTCTATAACCGCCGCCTGGAGGCGCGGTTTCATTAAAAACCGCTCATTAAATGCGCGGTTTTATATAAACGATGGTATTTTTGGAAATTATTTGGAGTGGGTGGTATTTTTGTAATTTTTTTTTAAACAGTAATAGTTTTGGATTTTTTCCTTAAAATCCATCCATCATATTATATGATCATCATCATTACTAATTATACCATGCATCGCACCAACAATAATCATCAGCTCCGAAAACCTTTCATCTTCATTATTAACAAAACTTTTGGACAGGAACTTTTGAACGTTGGAAGAGTTTAAATTAATTTGTTATAATTTATAAACTTAACGTTAATGAAAATACAAAGCATTATTCTTCTTCCAAAAAAAAAACAAAGAACAAGTGGGCTTTACTTAGATGTCTCTCTTGTTTGGGCTTTTGGCCCAGGTTTGTCTCGTCGTCGGCAGCGGATGAAGAAGAAAGACTGACAGCTAAGACGCTAGTAAAAAAAGATATATAAAAAACCGGAAATTGTTTTTATTAAAGAATTTTGCTTTGCTGGTTGCGAAACCGAGTTGCAGCTCGCTCTGGAACAAACTACACGCCTCCTTCCTTCCTTCCTTCCTTCCTTCCTCCCTCTCCATTGCTTCGGTTGATTGCCTTCGTTTTCTCCCCTTTTGCTGTTCCCTTTCAGTTTCCCGATTCCTTCCTCCCATCTGGTCATCTTCCCCTCCATTAAATTCTCCTTCCTTCTGTGCTTCTGTAGATTTTCTCGGGAAAATCTGCTCTCTGCTTGGTTCCCTCCAACTCCAATTTCCCAAAGCCCGCCTTCTCTACTAACTTTGTAAAGCTCACAAGAGGAGGAAGAAGAGATCCCGGAGTCTCAAGAAGATGTCGTACGCTTATCTCTTCAAGTACATCATCATCGGCGACACCGGTACCTAGCCCAACGGCCTCCCTTTTTTTTCTTTCTCCCGATTTGTTTTCAATTCTTTCTACTTCGGCGGTGGACTCATGATCGACTTGCGGTGGGTTTTTTCCCCCTTTTTGAGCGTTGAATTGATTCAATTTTCTTTTTGTTTGTTTCTGTATAATAGGAGTTGGGAAATCGTGTCTTCTTCTCCAGTTCACGGACAAGAGGTTCCAGCCGGTTCACGACCTCACCATTGGCGTCGAGTTCGGGGCGAGGATGATCACTATTGACAACAAGCCCATCAAACTCCAGATTTGGGACACGGTTCGTTTCTTCTTCTTCACTTGCTCCATGTGTGTGTGTGGTGTTTGATTCACTGTGAACTTGGGATCCAATTTCTTGTTGAGCCTGTAGTGTTGACCACCATTGGGGGAAGTCTCTGTTCAGTATATTGCTTAGAGTTCTCAATGGCATGCTTCAGTTGGATATAACCCTGTCTCAGAGCTTACTGTGGTTGATTGAATGCCGCTTTTACCATTGCAGATTGCTAGTCAAACATGAGTCGTTTTAGGTCAAAATAAGATTTCATACGTGTATAATTGTTGGGTTAGTTACTTAATCGTGGTTTACCCGTGATCTGGTGACTTGCAATCCATCTATTTCTCACTAGAAGACTCAATAATCTCAAAATGAAAAACTGCACATTGTTTATTGATGAATCGAATGTGTAGCATCGTGTTAGCTTTGTTATTTTTCATATGTGGCATGATATCATAAATTTTCCAAAGTTGTTTGCTGATGTCTCTTCATCGCATGAGACAGGCTGGTCAGGAATCCTTCCGATCGATCACTAGGTCTTATTACCGAGGAGCTGCTGGTGCTTTGCTTGTCTATGATATTACCAGGTAAAATGAACCATTTGATAATCGATATACACTATGATGCTGCTGCTGTTACTTTTGAGATATATAAAAGAACAGAGTTAATGCCTCTTCAATGCTCTGGATGTTAACATAGGCTAGGCCTTTTCGGGAAGTTTGTGTTTCCTCGTTTCTTTATGAACCCCCCTCAGGAAGTTATTCCTGTATATGTTGTGGATTTCTAAGTCAGTTGCAACTTTACAGGAGGGAAACTTTTAATCATCTGGCGAGCTGGTTAGAGGATGCCAGGCAGCATGCAAATGCCAACATGACAATTATGCTCATCGGGAACAAGTGTGATCTTGCTCACAGAAGGGCCGTTAGCACCGAAGAGGGGGAGCAATTTGCTAAGGAGCATGGTCTCATATTCATGGAGGCTTCTGCTAAAACAGCTCAGAACGTTGAGGAGGTGGAGAAACAGCATTCTCTTTCTCTTCTTTATTAGGAAGCATTAACATCACGTTGAAATTGTTCAAATGTCTAATGGCGAGACATCTATGCGTAGGCTTTTATAAAGACAGCTGCCACCATATACAAGAAGATTCAAGATGGGGTGTTTGATGTGTCAAATGAGGTTAGTCTCTGGCTAAGTTACTCAAATCTTGTTTGATTCTGCTTGGAAGGCGATCAGATCATATTACTATCCGGTGCAGCGTGAAATCGCTAAACATTTGGGGGGTGGTAATTTACATTATTTGAACTGCTTTGCTTGCAGTCTTATGGCATAAAAGTTGGATATGGTGGAATTCCTGGACCATCAGGGGGACGAGATGGCTCGACTTCACAAACTGGCGGCTGTTGCAGTTAGAAAAATTGGACCCCTCTCCATCAGCTGTAATCCAACATGGCTTGATTTATACCCTCATCTTTGGGGAAAATTTGTCAAGAAAGTCTTTTCCTATGTAGTGGTGAAACTGCTTCAAACATTGTGTGAAGATTTGGAATATAACATACGTATGTACAATCCCTACCCTTCCTTTTTCTTGCTGGTTGAATGTAAATTCGTGTTGGAATCGTTTAGTTTATACCTTTATAGGTTCCTTTCTTGTGTCAGCTCTCTATGTGTGGCTTGGAAGAATTCTTTTGTGAATTGTTGTGGGAGTGGTTATAGTAATTTAGATGAGTTGAGATTGAAATTTCCAAAGTATTTTATGAATTATAATAGAATGATATGATTATCCTCATTATTAAGTAATTTTATTTTATGTATATTATTTTGCGTTAATACACATATTATGCACGTCTAACTATCATCTTTTTGCCGATATGTTAACCTAATATGTATATTTTCTTCTAATCTTGCATTATGGGCGAATACAAATTCCATTATGATTCTATGCGGCAACATGCTAATATGATCTATGCGCATCCTGTTTGATCTATGCGCATCCTCTTACTACGATTTTGTTTCAAGTTTCATTTGGCTCTAGACTACGATTCGATAGAGAACGATTTGGCGCATCTTTCTTGGATTTCCTGGTATTAAAGTAAAGTTGTTAGGCTTGGTTTTCTTTGAGTTCAAGATATTCGGCATAAGCCGTCTTTGCTTTTTCTCTTATCGATGTGACCCTTGTCTTTAGCTTGGCACCAGGGCGGCTTGCTTACCTACCTGATGACTTTCTTAGCCACCTAACCGCTTCCTCTATCTCTTCCTTTCCTGCATCCTCTTACTTCACCGAAGAGTAACCACCAGAAGATGGAGTCTTTAACTACCTCTATGAACTGCCTACTCCTACAGCTTGCCTTTTTAAAGCAACTGCTTGGCCGGCTTCTCGTCTTCCGTCTTATCCTTCCTCATTCCCTTCCCCACTTCCCTTAGCCGAACTCCCTGCTCTTTTCCCGTTGTTCTTGCTCTTTCCGCTTACTTTCCAAGGTAGGTAGCAGCTTTGTAAGGTAGTTTTCCATATCCGTTAACAGCTCTAAGCCTAACCGCTTATTCCGACTTTCCTTTTGCCGGCTAGTCTACTCCTTTACCCGCTTGCCCTTCCCTTTCCATTCTATCAGCGGGACACAGGGCTCTCCTCGGCTTTGAGCTCTTCCCCCGATGCCTGAATGCTCCTTTACCGAGCGGAGGACTCGCTTTCTTTTTGGTAGACTGATCTAAATAACTAATCAAGAAATTGCGTTTGTAAGATCAAGCTCAGCTCGTGGATCTTTGATTCTTTTAGACAAGTCGTTGGTCTTTTCGATTTTCCTTTGACCTAGTATGAATAGTAAATGGGTATAGTCCCGGTTGATGCTGCTGACATAGATGTAGATGGGGCGCTTTCAAAACCCCTTGATTAAGAGGTTGAGGGGCCTCCGATCCTCTTTCGTGTGCAACGGTTAAGAGTGGAAAACCGCTCCTCTAACTTGAGTGGCTTGACGCTCCTATGACAGTCGTCCTAGTTGGAACTCGTACCCCCCCTCGCTATCTATCGTCAGTGATTGTCCCAGGCGGGGAACTGCTTGTATCAGACCTGATTCTCGCGCAGCAAGATCTTTTGTGAGTGCCCTTCCTTTGGGGCTTGAGGCTCATCTCACGATCTTCGTCTTGTCTGATTCTTTTTGTCTTGGTTGGTACGCCCCCCTTGTGAAAGAAGTCCTCTATCTGCACACTAACCTGGGATACTTTCACCCAGTTTTTCCCTTGATGCTTCTAAGCCGCTTTGAATTGGCCTGTGCCCGTTGATGAATCATCAATCCATTCATAGTCACGTCAGCCGAGAAGACGGACTTGCTGGTATCGTCAAATAGAGTATAGAAGACTTCTTCCGCTCTAGTGGCGGGTTTCTCTTTTCATTAAGTAGCCCCTCATTCACCTCGTACACTGAGTCAAGCAACTTCTCCTTTTCTGTCATGAAGAGGAAGTGAGATGATGACAATGCGGCTGGGAAAAATCCATATCAATCCATTTCTTCTATAAGAGAATTGGATCCCGACCGACCCAGACCTAAGAAATTTAATTAGATGCCGATTTCATTCCAGTAGTACCCGTTGCTTCTTTTGTTGGGTTGGTTGGAGTGCTTTAATCAGACTTGACCGAGTAGATCATGTTGGGATCTTCACCATGAATGCGCCTCCGGGCGAAGCATCTCATGGCACACCATTGATCAATAAGACAGGAGAAATAGAATATACGGGGATAACCCCATTCCTATCAGCGTGAAATGACATTCATTCAATCAGTCCTCTCCTCCGCTCTCTCTGTCCCTGGCTTCTACTTTCACATACCTTCTGGCCTCAGTCGTTGACTTTGCCCCTTCCGCTCCTCCATTTAACAAGGAATTTAGTGGTTGTTCGCTCCTGAACGAATTGGGACAGTATCGTGGTAGAGCTCCTATCCGTGCTTTGACAAATCCCTCTCCGGCGTCATCTACTGGCTGATTGCACACTGCCTTCTGCCTGACTATGGCTTTTAGAAAGAACATCCCATACAGAGTCTTTCAACTAACAACTAAGCCATTCGAGCCTTCACCTAAGCTCTCATCGGTAGAGCCCCTGTCTCTTTTATTATTGTATACGTATACAAGTCTGGTAGTCAATTGTTCTAGCAAGGATGGGCTAGTTGCCTACTCTCACCTAACCCGCCCCTTTGACTGATGATCAATATGACAAAAGTAATCTATCTTGATCCTTATCTTATATGACGCAATTCATAGATTTGGGCAAGTCAGAGTGAAATCAAAGTAAAGTTATTGGCGATCATACCTACTCAATGAGAATGCTCTCAAGTCCAGTCAATGTCTTTTTGATGATACGATTATCAGGTGCGAACTCAAATAAGGAGGGGCCCCCAGTGGTTTGAGTAACTAGCCTCTAAGGTTAGCGAGGTTCCTGTTATGGTGAAGTGAAAGATCTTTCACTATAGTGGGAAGAAGACAGGTGGGAACGAGCAGAGCGAGAGCAAAGCAAGTTCCAGTGGTGGGTTGTATTCCAGGTCCCATTTCACTATTTTTTATGGTATGGAACTCACTTCATACCTGCAACAGAGTAAAAGCTGCGGTAATGCTGACTGGTCAATAGGGCTATTCAAACCAATCCACCCTAAGCTGTTACTGCAAGAGCAGCGGATCTGATCTTAGAATATAAAGTAAACCAGTTGCCGGTACTCTTTCATCAGCTGTGGGATGCTTAGACGGTACTAGTGCTTGAGTAAGCGGTGCTCCCTTTCTGTTTGCAATTACCGCTGCAGAATAGTCATCCCTAAAAGAAGCTGTTTTCAAATTCAAATAGGTTGCTTTTAGAATAGGTTGTTCTCGAATAAGCTCTTTGAAAGATAACTGAATGCGTTTAGTCCCTTGGGGATGGGTCTGCACTCAGGGGCTCTTTTTAGCACTTTTGAGGAAGTGAAGACGAATAGTCGACTTTGTTGCCTGCTTGACTGCTTTCATCTCCTGATGTCAGAAAAGGTGTTCTATCGCATTCTTTTAGCTGCAAGGGAACCGTCAGGTTGTAGTGGTTGAAGTAGAGCCAAGCAGCGATGGACTAAGCGAGTCAAATAACGCTGGTGCGAACCATGTTGGATGACGGGTGAGGGTGAGAAAGAAGTCCTGCTCTGCTGCCCTGTGTTAAGCAAAGTGAGTTTACTTCGTTTCAGGCCATGTTATTCAGTCTCATGGAACTAAACTCTTAGATGCAGCATGCAGCCGCCTCCATCCATCGGCACATCCGCCCCAGATGCACGCTTAGCCGCATTGTTCATCTTGAAAGGGAGCCGCGAGGTGCTGTCATGTCAAGCCCAAGGTTCGTTCTACTGCTGTCAAATTTATGCCATTTACACGTCTTGGTGGGGGGTCTTCTTGCAACGATCTTCGTTTCTTGAGGAATGGTGTCGGTCAATTGGTGTATAGGCTATCTCGGTCCAGTTTAGAATTGACCTCTATTTTAAATCCCGCTTCCTTGTTAGCTGGCTGGGAAACCCCTCCTCTATGAAGCAGAGAATGATCGATCGAAGACTGAGAAGATCGAAGAAGATGTTTTAAGCATCGGTTGCGACATCGAATGAGACTTATCCAGGGAGCAAAGACTCCGGTTGTCTTTTGTCACTCAAGTTAGCTATCCATACCGTAACCGTAGTATGGGAGGTTTTCTTTATTGACCACGCACTCAAGCCACCCCGCTCGAAAGGAAGGAAGACCGCCCGTACTCCCCAGTCCCGGTCCGGTTTGGTCACTGATATCACCTATCGTCGCTGGGGAACTACTCTCCTCTGGTATTAGCATTAGCAACCCCCGCTGAAAGAATAAATGACAATGTTAAACATCCACCGATGAATTAGTATGTACCTGCACGACTCGTACTATAGTGTTTAGATCGTCTACCTCCTTCTCCTGTTATTTCTTTCTATGACGAATGCTTGCCCGCGGGATACTTCTTTGTTCCCCAGGAACAATAAATAGTCACTTGAGTACGCCCGGAAACTATAGCGGGTTACTTGAGTTCAAAAGAAAGACCCCCTCGAAGGGGCATGGAGGAACCGCAATAGAAAATCCCAAGCTCGCTGAAGAAGGGCCCCAAAAAATTTAAATATAAAAAAAAGTTTTCCTTTTCGAAGTGACAATTGAGGGCCAGAGCTTAGTGGAATTTCGAATGGAAGAGACAGAGCTTAGGGACGGAAATACGATTGGAGAGGCAAAAAGTGAAGCCCACGGAGCGGGAAGGCTAGTGGCGGATTCCGGCTATCCTTACGAGAGTTCCCGGGTGTATTATATTAGGGGGGTCCTCCGCGCTAGGACAGTATTCTAAGTTCGAGAGAGGTTATTTATACCGGCCCGTCATCGGTTAAGTCATCGGGAAGCGGTAGGAGCAGATCGACCTATGACGGGTAAAAAGGCTTATAGCTGATTTTTTTCTAGAAGCTTGAGATCGTTCACTTTGCACCGGGGTTTTTTGACATCAGTCAATTTTAGCTCATAAGTGAGAGTTCAATCCTGCCATTGTTGCATTTTCCCGGGATTTTTGTCATCAATTACTTTTCCCTTCATAGACGTCAATTGAAATCGTGAAATAAATGCACTTTTCCAGCTATATGAAATGCTAACTTCACGATTTAGAATGATCATTATGAGTGAAAAATCATAAATGCACTTTCACAGCTATATGAGATACAAAGGTAGATTGCTTCGTTTTCATGCTTAGGTCTCTGCTTTTTATCAAGCTCGGTGCGCTCATTGACATCGTATGCGGGTCATCGGGATCGGAAAAGGAATGCGGGCGTTGGTAAGCGTGGAGGGGCTAGAAAGAGAAAGGTCAACTATTCTACATACAATGCTTCCCCAAAATAGAAGCATTTTGTTGGTGTATTAAACCACCAAATAATGAATGGTAGCTGGGTTTGTAGGAAACTTTTACAGGTGATAGAGTTGGCTAGAAGATATATTATACATGATGTTGGCAATGGAACCAATACATCTCTCTGGTATGACTCTTGGCTGCCTATAGGTTCTATAGTGGAAAGGTATGTATGGTGAGCAGATCATAGGGCAGCTGGGTGTTCCAAAAAATGAAAAAGTTGCAGACATACTTTCTAATTACAGATGGTCCCTCCCTGCAGCTGCAAATAAAGATCTGCAAGAAATTGGGGAGTAGAGCCATACCATAAGGCCCTTGAACAGTGAGCAAGAAGACAGAGTTATATGGATGCCGGATCACTCCGTTTTCCATAAAAAGCGCCTGGAGGTTAATCAGACATAAACAAGCTACTATGCCTTGGTGTAAACCGGAGATTTTTTGAAGAAGGAACTCATTAGTGGACTGATTCCGACCCTTTACCAGAAGAAAACAGAGGAGCGGTATGGTTTCAGAAGAGGTACTCATTATACAGATATCCTTGAACGAATTGCCCGATTGCCGATTCACTGCGCCTACCTATCCCCAATCACACAGGAATGCTCCCTTGGCCGCCTACCAATGATTCCTTTCACTTTCAGACAATTCCTCGTGCATCAAAAAACGTCATAGTAAAGCGATAAGGGACCCACTTGCCCACTTCCCCTATCCCCGCCCCAGAAACCCTGTTTTTTCAGTCTGTTACCATGTAGCCAAGTTGCCCATAGAGACTGTTTATCAGTGAGGAGAGTCCATAGTTGCTTCCCAACAGCAGCAGTATTCCATTCTTTTAAGTTCTTAATCCCCAAGAATTTGGAAGATATTTTTAGGTGCATAAATTTTATCCAAAAATACTAGACCCCTTTTATTTATAGTATCAGTATCAGACCAAAGGAATTATCCGCACTTCCTTTCAAGGATCTGAACCACTGCAGCAGGAAGTATAAAAACACCTGTCCAGTATATATGCAAACTAGCAAGTACAGACTGAAGCAATACTAGCCTACCAGCAAAAGAGATATGTTTTGAATTCCATGTGGCTAAATTTATCAATGAGACCAAGACAATGACTTTTCTTCAGGCCTGTAGATAACAAAGGGAGACATTAATATGTGACTGTCAATTATCCCTCCTGGAAACTCAACAACTGCATAATGTCATGCTTGCACTGATCTGAGGTCCCACTAAAGAATATAACACTTTTGTTATTATTAATGCTCAACCCTGAGGTCTCCTCAAAATGCTGCATTACATTAACTATCTCCCTAACAGAATTAACTTCAGCCCCAGCAAAGATGAATAAATCATCAGCAAATATAAGATGAGATAGTTTAAATGAAGAGCATCCTGTATGGTAATGAAACTGGTTACTCAGACACCCTTTGAACAATAACGTAAGGTATTCCATACATAAAACAAAGAGTAGAGGGGATATAGGATCACCCTGTCTTAACCCTTTTCCACCCCTGAGGTAACCATGAAGTTCACCATTAATGAGTAAAGAAAACATAGTTGTTCTTACACATTGCATTATTAGCACCACAAACTTACTAGGAAATCTATATGCAAGTAACAATTCCTCAAGGAAATCCCACAGTACTGAGTCATAAGCCTTTCTTAAGTCAACTTTCATAGAGCAATTTGGCTTTCTAGAGGACCTATGATAGTTGTGGACTAACTCATGTGCCATAATAATATTGTCATGAATTGTCCAGCCCCCCCCACAAAAGCTGATTGACAAGGAAAGATCAGTGAAGAGAGAACCAAATTCAACCTATCCACAAGAATCTTAGATATAAATTTTATAGAAAACACTACAGCAAGCTATGGGTCTATAATCAGTCAATCCACTAGGGTGCTCACATTTTGGAATAATAGTAAGTGCAGTGTCATTAACCTGCCCAACAAGCTTACCTGTATGAAAGAATTCCTTTACAGCTTGAATGACATCATTGCTCACAATGGACCAGGCTTTGCAACTATTAAATCCCTGGGGCTTTATCCTCTCCAATGGCGCATAGAGCCTCCTTAATCTCTTTTGCAGTTACAGGCAGAAGAAGTGAGGTGGCCTCAGTATCAGTAAATTTGTATCCTTGTTGAATGACCACAGGTTTAATGTGAATCCTATGTCCACCACCAGTACCTAGCAATTCAGTGTAGAACTGTACCATTGCCTTACACAATCTTGTTGCTATGAAATGGTAGTACCATTAGGTAGAGGAGAGGAATGAAGTTGCTCGCATTCTAATTAGAACAAGAAGGAGAGGAACGGTAACTAGCAATTTAGCTTCTTCCAACACTCGGATTGAAGGGAGCTACTGCCGTGAGGAATGCTTTATTTACCCAATACTAACTATTTCGGGTATCACTTCCCAATGTTATTTTACAGGGTTTATAAGATAAGCGCTTTACTTTAGAATACCTCAAAGCCTGAGAGTTATGTTCCAGTGAGTGTTAAGTTTTAAGTACTTCCATTCACCCCTTATGTTATGGCTCGTCTCCCTTTCAGGAGATAGGAATAGATAATATATATATATATATGTTTTTCCCAACGTTTATTCTTATTTATAAAGCACATTTTTTTCTCACCTATGCCAATAACTGGAGTAAAGGGCCTCGCAATCATCAGGTACATTAGACCAGTGAGTTTAAAGCGTGGGTGCGTCCGGGGTTGGTATTTGTTTGATCACCACGCTACCCTTGGCCATGAGCCTGATAACCCTTTTCGGAGATTGCCAGCTCGTTCTACTCTGGGTAATAGTAAGCGTGAGCAGAAGAGTGATCCTCTATAATAGGCCGAAAACAGAGGGAATAAGGCTCAGTAACGTGGGTACCATTTAACCTCCTTGTATCAATACTTTCATCACGATTCTTTGGCTATATAAAGCCTTGTGAGAGACATTGAAAAGACAACTCGAATAACACAGCCAAATCGTTTACAACAAGAGATCAACCCTGGCAGACAGCCCTGTTCCAACCCGGCAAAAGGCAAATAAAAAGCCCACTAGAATACCAACTGAGGCATCTAACGTCTAGGTAATCTCAGCCATAAGGTTGATGGCTATCTAGATTCCTTCTCTAGATCGAATGCGACATCTGAAATACTCGCATAAAAGTGCTTCAGCAACAAACTCTCATCGTGAGCAGTGTCTCCGCTGGCAATTTATAAATTACTAATATGCTGCTCTGCGAGATCTTCACTTCCATCATACAACCGAAACCAGCTAAGGAAGGAGCGAGGCGAGATCCGTTTAGAGTGAGTGGCCTATTACTTTCTTAAATATCAGAGTTGGGGTCACTAAGCAAACAAAGACATATCTGGTAACCCACTTAAGTCTTTGTCAAACAATTCCCAATCATGGTCCTTGCAGAACTAGGAAATACTGAATTGAGTTTACTCTGAACTCAATGGGTCTATACCCGGTTCGCTTGGAAATTGTAGAAGTGTGACGACTTTGATGCTTTCTGCCAATTTACTTTCTCGGTCTTTGCTTTGAAAAAGAGCTTTTACTCGAGGAGCTCCTTCTAGCACTAGCAGCGACTATTGCTAATACTGACTTTTTCTTCAAACTAGCTTATAACCCGGACAACGGCCCGTTTGCCGGAATGTTCATATTTGATTATTTATAATTTTATGTTAAGTTTAAGTCTATCAACCCGTTTAATTTTTTTGACAATCTTTCGATCAAGATGATACATAAAGAAATAATATATAGGTCGAACACTCGAAGAAATACCATCTATCATTTAAGAATATAAAATATAAAAATGTATCATTGATTCATTTTCATAATGATAATATTATATTGGTTAGTTGATATAGATAGAATATAAAAGCTCAATGAAATTACCACACGACCCATATATAGTTTGAACCTGAATCTAAAACCTCACAATCCTACATAAAGGCCGCAATGCTCTCCTTTTAGAAACAACATGCCACTAATAAAAAAAGAAATAGAGAGTTGTTGGTTCAAGTCAACTATATACTACAAACTTAGCTAAGAGGGAACCATCAAAACTTGAGAGCGAACGAAAAAATTAGGGTTACCTCCAATATACTAATAGACTTTATAAAATTCATAAGGCATAAAATTAGACACTCATTTTCTATCAGTTTCAGTAGGTTGAATAAAGAATCGACCTAATTCAATAAATCAATCAATGATTTCTCGTTTTAAGATAGAAATAGGTTGTGGTAGCTGCAAAAACCATAAACCTAAAGAGCCAATTAGGGATGGCAACAAAACCCGAACCCATGGGTACCCACCCGACCCAACCCGGTCAACGCGGGTAAAATCCGTGTTAACGAGTTTTGGGCCGGGTTCGGGTTTAAACCCGCTACACTATTCACCGGGTCGGGTTGGGTTTGGTTTAGGTAAATCCGACCCATGGGTACCCGCCCACACACATATAATTACTTTCCCGGTATATTTAATATTCTAAATAATATATTTTCCTTAAAAATTAATATTCTTTATGTTTGTGGAGACATGTATAATTTGTTCTTTCTAATTGTTTAGAATGAAGTTGATATTATGAAGTGGGGAGTGAAGAAACTTAGTTGACGAGGAAAAAGCTTTCAATTAATCTTTTTTTTTTATAGATTTTTATCTTTAATTTTGAACAATTTGTATTGATCATTTGCGGTTTGCTTGTATGCTCTAGATTGGTGTTTTTTTGTATGAGAAAATTGATGTTAAACTTTTATTTTGAAAGAAACTTGTTATTGTAATGCTTTTACCACAAAAACCCACGGGTACCCATGAACCCGCGGATACCCAGCGGGTTGGGTTTGAGTTTTTCAAACCCAACGGGTTTTACCCTGGGTTTTTTTGGCAGATAAACCCATGGGTTTGGGTTTTGGTTTGACAAAACCCGCCCCAACCCGACCCATTGCCATCACTAGAGCCAATAGCCACCACTCTCCGTTGAACGACCAAATTTGTATCCACTCTATCTTTAATCTCAAGAGGCATATGTTCCAACCAAACAACTCCATTTCTTCTACTTTGATGGACCTTCTCTCCGTGACCCTCAATTTCTCTTCCAATTGGGGTTCTTGTCAACTCCCTCTTCAACTCCTCAATCTTCTTCTTGTGTTTGCTAACTCATCTTCCTCGGGGCAGTTGTAATAAGTTCGCTAAAACCAACACTCATCTCCAATTCCATCAATATGTTCATCTCCCCCTTGTGTGCCTTCACCCGCTTCTGTCCACTTCCTTGCCCTTCAATAACCTCTCCATTTTCATTACTATCCTCATCATCTCTCACTTCTCTCACGTTAACTGCTCCAGTTTCGCTTCCATATCTTTCAACACCCTCCTCAATTCATTCACTACCCTCTTCTCTGCCTTCACCTGCTGCAGTGGAACTTTACCTGCTATCAAATCCAAACACAATTTCTTCCTCCCACCACTTTCATTCTCAAACTCAATTCCAACTCTTCTACTCCAAGTTCAAATTCATAACTACTTGATTGAACTCCATTCTATTCGTCATGGATTGATATCGGATTTGAAATTTTCTATTTGCCCAGCTTAAATCCCCAAAATAAAACTGTCGTGCCAAGAGAAACCGGAAGATAAATTTTCAAATGCGCCCTTGTACTCGGAAGTGAAAGGGCCAAATTATTGCACGATGGAGGGACTTTCGAAGTAAGTTATAAAGAGATAAAAACAAAGATAAAAAAGCACAAAATTTAAATTTAAATTAAAAAATGCAATGACACAACACGTAGTAAAAGAAATAGTTTCTTCCATGTTAGCCAATTACAAATTTACCTAAACGAAAATTAAGTAGAGCATGAATTTTAAAATGGATAAAATTACATGAAACTCTACTATGGAAATTGAAGTATTAGGCACCATAAAAATATATACGGTAGACTTATTGGGCTTGTTGATCATGATGTAAAAGTCATTCACTTTCCAGAGTTTAACTTAGTGTATGTTTTGTATTCAAATAGAAACAACAATTTTGTTTAGCGTAATTGGATATAATCGCTGTGTTTGTTTAAAGAGACATGGGTTCAAATCTTGATATTGAAATTTTTTATTTGAAATAAATAATTAATTGTAAAGACAAAAATGTCATTCCTACTTTCACTCTCGTTTTAGAAAATTTGAAATGGAGAAAATTATACAAAACTCTACCATATATTAACTAGATCATGGCCCGGCCTCTTGGCCGGGAGAGTTTGATTCTCATGTTGTCATGTATAAGTGTAGGTATATATTTTTGTTATGGTTCATGTTGTTGGAGTTTGAAATAAATAATTGGACCTTAGCTTGAACATTGCATCATGTTGATAAAAATTGTTTCATCAATTACAATGCTGAAATAAGGGGTTGTATATGGAAGTCTTGATTGTTTTTTTTAGATTATTAAAATAAATACATTTTTATAATACAATACATATGTTTTATTTTTGTTTATACACAATCGTGAATTATTTGCTTGCTTTGACTAAACTATCACTCAAATTGATTTATTAAACAAATTCGAATTTTAGCATAGACTGTCGAGATAATTAGTATCGATGTTTGTCATGTTTATTTTTCTTGAAATGTATGGTACCAATGTTCTTATGTCGTCATTGAACACTTCAATTCAATGCGCAATGTTCCAACCAATGATATTTGTGTTGAGATTTTAAGATTATCATTCATTTATAAGTTAGAAAAAATTCTAAATTAATTATTAAAATATGAAAATAGAATGATCAAACACCACAAAATACTTACAGGAGACTTAGCGAGCTAACTAACCATGATAGAAAAGTACTCCGTTTTCATAATTTTAACTTCCTCTATGTTTTGTATTAATAAAGTACAACAAATGTGTCTAGTCTAATTGGTTACAATTCTTGTCTTTGATGGAAGAGACCATTTGATATGTTTTTATATGAAATAAAAATTTGATTGTGTAGACGAAAATACCCTTCCTACTTTCATTCTCGTTGCAGGAAATTTGAAATGGAGCAAATCAAACTCTTTAAAATGTATTATAAGTAGTGTAGATGGAGGATGCAGATAAACCCATCTCATTCTGTCTTTTTTTCTTTATCATTTTCAGTTTGCGCGTAGAGAATTCACATATCCCAAAAGAAAGCCTAGCACCTTGCTGGTACCAAAACCGATGCATGGGAAAAACCTTCTCAAAAACAACAATCCTTTGGTTCTTCGTCCCTCTGACTTGCCTTGATGGCACAAAACTAGTCCTCCGCAGAACGCCATCCTTTGAATCTTTTCCCTTCCCTCCATCCACTCAGTGTGAATGGCAAGGCTTCCTCCTTCTTTTTAGGTCTTGGAGGACAAGGATCAGCAAATATCTTTGGATCCCTTCTTCAAACTCGAAATTTCATTTGGCTCCAGACTTCGTAGCATAGATAAAACTTATTTGCATGGTCGTACCATATTTTACTAACTATCATTATAAGTTATTTATAATTATTAATGGAATACTTATATTATACACCCTACTTCAAATTTGTAGAACGTTTAGGTGTAAACTTTATATTGTGCTTGTTATAAATTCCATATTTTTCCAAATTAGAAATTCTTCGTTAACTATTTACAAATAATAGTAGCGATTTGCACACATCCAAATTCATGATGTGCCACAAATTAGATCGTTAAAAATAGACTCAAAGATATGGCAGGCACCCACACAACTTATAAAATCATTATAATAATATAATGGTCATTACATTAGACGAACAAATGAGACGTTTGATATAAATTTATATAGAAGGACTAGTTTATAGTCAGACTCGTTGGTTGGATTAAATATTGTGTAATATTAGAATGTTTCTCATACAGGAGGACTACATTTTAGTAAATTGTGTTGTTGCCCAGTAGCAAACTGAGATATTGCAACAGGTTCCTCATACGGGAGGAGTCCCACTTTATAGTTTTCTTCAAATGGTGGGAAGATTCGCTAATTTAAAATAATCCAGAATTAGCGCTAAGAAAAATTATTTTCTGCCAAAGGTCACATAGCCTGGTGGTAAGAGAGGCGGATTAGTGATCGAGAGGTTTCAGGTTCGATCCTCACCACTGTCATGGTGTTCCCTGAGGCACCCCGCATTTGCTCGGACTGCTAGCGGATGTCTCAGGTTATATGACATAAAATGACTAACGGATTTAGGAAAGGATGGATGCGAGAACAATGTATGTAAAAATAGGTCTTCGTAGCAGGGGAAGCAGAGAAAGAATATTGTCCTACGAACAATATACAAAGTAAATGATTGATCCGTTTAGGATTAGTAAAGTTACCGAGTTCTTGTAGAATTAGTAAGTCATTAGGTTTTCCAGTTCTACTATAAATATGGTGAACGGCTATTTGCCGCCAACCAAATTGCTATTTGCCGCCAACTAAAAAAAAAAAAATTTGAATTCAAAATTTGAATTTTCCCTTCCTTCCCTTCCTTTCATTCTATAAATTCGGATATCAGGAACATTTGACTCATTCCAACAAAAACTTCTGTTGACGAGCCTAGTGCCTTCGTTGCCGGCACCGTTCTTCCGTCGTCGGCTAACCTCCCGTCGCCCTCAATCGTCGGAAAACAAGTAAGTTGACTTATTCCGGTCAGTTTTCCAGTTTTCCGGCAAAAAACACGGTGGGCCGAAAATAAATTGCGGCCGGAGCGACGTCGGGACGAAAAAATTTGCGGCCGGTACGACGGCCGGCCGAAAAATTCTTTCGGCCGGTCGCCGAACACGCCGGCCAAAAATTTTCCGGCGGCGTGTTCGTCGGCCGGCCGAAAAAAATTTGCGGCCGGAGCGTCGCCGGGCCGAAAGAATTTTTCGGCCGGACGACGCACCGGCCGCAAATTTTTTTTCGGCCCGACGTCGCTCCGGCCGCAAATTTTTTTCGGCCGGCCGACGCACCGGCCGCAAAATTCTTTCGGCCCGGCCAGTTTTTGTATTTAATTTAATTTAATATGATAATTAATTAGCAATTAGTGTTAATATTTATTTAAGTTGGTGTATAAATGATTTTTTTTTATAATAGGCGTTTGAAAGTTTAATTACTTAGATTAGTTAATGGAATTTTAATTTATTAATAATTGATTTAATAATTAATGTTAATATTTAGTACATTAGTTAATAGAAAATTAATTAATTTCTGATTAATTAACAATTAATGTTAATAGTACATTAGTTAATAGAAATTTAATTAATTAGTGCGCATCTAAGTATGATATTGTTTAAATTTGTAGATAATTAGATATGGATGATGCGGGTGATGCGGGTGGGAATGAGTTGTATAGATTCAATGGTAGGGTTGTTGATGTATCAGCACGAAGGAAAAATAAAGAGAATAAGCGCTCTCGGGATATTGGACATCAGTCACATGCAAATTTAGGGGAGGATTAGTTAGAGGCTCCTACTGTAGTTGATGCTGAGAGTTTTGATGCTGCATGGGATGCTTTGCTATCCTACATGGTTCATATAGACATGTACTCTCAGCCGTGGACGACGTATCCATATGAGACTACGAGAGACTATCTTGACTGGTTCGTGGCGCACTCTCATTGTAGAGTCCTACGGGATGATGGAGAGGCAGATCGACTAGTTGACTCCGCAGCGGTAAGATTTGACCACTAAATCGTTACTCTATTATAAAAATACTTAGCATGAAACTAAAAATTGTTCTTTTTTTTTTTATGCAGCGTGGTCGCGACCTTTTGTACACGTTTGCACCTGCGGTTCGAGCAGCAGCAGGGACCGAGGAGGAGTTTGTTGAGCATTCTCGACGAGCCTACAGGGCACTGCACGGAGTGCAGGATGTGTGGACTGAGTACTGGGCTTCTCAGGGACTCCCCCCTCCAGGGGATTTTTAGTTGTTTTGATGTTTCCATATTTGTGTTTAGATCGGATGTTTGACTACTTATGTATGTTTGGATCGGATGTTTATGTTCAGACTGCATGTTTCCATATTTGTGTTTAGATCGAATGTTTGACTACTTATGTATGTTTGGATCGGATGGTTATGTTTAGACTGCATGTTTCCATATTTGTGTTTAGATCGGATGTTTGACTACTTATGTATGTTTGGATCGGATGGTTATGTTTAGACTGCATGTTTCTGACACGCTAAAACACAACACCTAACAATGAAAAAAGTGCAACCACACGGCCGTGTAGCTCACCCAGCCTGGCCGTGTGAAGCCTCGCAGAATTCCACACGGCCAGAGTGCAACTTCACACGGCCGTGTAGCTCACCCAGCCTGGCCGTGTGAAGCCTCGCAGAATTCCACACGGCCAAAGTGCAACTTCACACGGCCGTGTAGCTCACCCAGCCTGGCCGTGTGAGCTCCGCCTTCCTCATTAATCTTAACCTCTCTTTTTCAGCCTCACTAAACTGTTTGTTGTGTCGGTGATGTTCTGGATACAACACCTTTTCATGGTTGTGAAACCCTCTATTAGCTCCGGTTTCACGACTTGTCACTCCCACTATGACCCATGTGTTTGGACCATCCTTTTGCCATACTTCCTTTATACATATCTGAAACTGGCAACCAGTACCCTTCGAACTAATATTCCCACGCGTCTCCTTCGTAGGGTCTGGTTTATAAGACTTAACGATCCTACTACTTCGTCGCAATACACACAGAGGGCAGTAACAGGATGTAGTCCAGCAGTATTCGGTTTCCATGCTCTTCTAACAATAAAGAACCCACACTCCTGAGCGATTGTTCTTGCAGCTAACTTCACACTTGCATAATGGATCCCATTCTCAAATTCCTGTGTGTAATCATGATCGGCCGGTAACAACTCTGACATTTTTCCTACAATTACAATATAATACATCAATATTCCTGTGAACCTAAACGCTAATTTCAAGTCTTAACCGCTAAATTCAACTCCTAAACTCTAAATTCAATTCTTACACGCTAAATTCAACTCTTAAACACTAAATTCAACTCCTAAACTCTAAATTCAACTCCTAAAATTGAATTTTTCCGAAAAATTCCAAAAAACAGACGGTGGGCCGAAAAATTCCGGCGGCCGGAACCTGGCCAGGCCGAAAAATTCCGGTGGCTGGAACCTGGTCGGGCCGAAAAATTCCGCCGGCCGGAGCCAGGCTGAGCCGAAAATATCTTGTGGCTCAGCCTGGTTCCGGCCGCCGGAATGTTTCGGCCCGGCCAGGATCCGGCCACCGGAATTTTTCGGCCCGGCCAGGTTCCGGCCGCCGGAATTTTTCGGCCCACAGTCTGTTCGTTTCAAATCGTCGGAAAAGTTGTTCGAAGTTACAAAAAAATTACGCACCTGCTTAGTGATGATTCATTTATGCGTGTACGCAGTATATGTCGAGGATAGGCTTTCCCGATGATTTTTCGGCGACTTTTCCGGCGAGCGTTGAATTTTTCTGATTCAATACGTTTTCTGAAAGTTGGACATGTTGTAGATTGTGAAACTCCTTAACCAAAGATGTATATATATACTTTTTTTTTTTGGTTGGCGGCAAATAGCAATTTGGTTGGCGGCAAATAGCAAGCCCCTAAATATGTACTTTGTTTCTACGTTTTAATCCGCTTCCGGGAACTTCGCTGCTGGATCAGACATAGTCTTCGTTGCCGCTGGCAGGCTCGGACGAAACAATTATTTGCAATGTTGTCAGAACCGAACCGGAGCATGACCCGGTAATGCGAACAACTCGCACTTTAGTGGTCCAACCGACATTAGCCCGTTAAAAAACCGTTAGAGAACCGGTACCTAATAAACGTTATCAATATAAATAGTGGACATTTCCTAATCATAGCTCGTCTCTTTCCTTCGAAATTGTGAAATGGAAATAAGGATTCAGTTTGAGAGCCCGACGTTTTTGGTTTATTTCAACTTTCAATTTTTTTGCAATTTTTTTAATTAAATTTAACGGCTGAATGGCAAAAACCGGATAAGCGGCTCAATCGGCTCGAGCGGTTAACCGCACCGGCCGCTCGTCAACCGCTACATAAAACCGGAGCGGCTTTTAGACTGTTCCGAGCCGGTTTTGTGACCGAATGGCGATTTTACCGGTCGGGCCGAGCGGCTCGGCTCGGCTTTAATAACACTGATTATTTGATAACCTTAACATAATTAATAAAGGGTGGGCATTAGCTTACCCTAATTAACCCTATAGTTCTTTAATATAATAGGAAAATGTTATACATGAGATTCAACCGAATGGTACAGAAGAGAGACTACACGAAACGTTTTTACAAGAGAGAATTCATATTGTTACACAACAGGGTATAAGCCGGGAGCTAAACGCGTCTTAGGTAATGCCATGAGCGGCGTGGCCAGTGAGAGCCCATCCTCAGCTTCACTTAGGTCAACGGTCTTATTTCCCCCCACCGGCGTCCACGCGAAGCACTGCAGCAGCCTGGCGAGCAGCATGGTGGTCATACAAGTCCCGAGCACCGTCGCCACGCAACCTCGCCGGCCGGTGCTAAACGATATGAACCTCAGCTCGTTCTCCACGAGGACCACCTCATCGACGCCGCCGTCGTTTTTAAGGTGCCGGTCCGGGTTGAACCTGAGCGGGTCGGGCCAAACCTTCGGGTTCCGACCGAGGCCGTAGCGGCTGAGGAGGGCGTGGCTGCCCTTGGGGATGAAGTAGCCGCACACGGTGGTGTCTTGGGTCGCCACGTGTGGGGCGTTGAATGGAGCCAACGGGTGGAGCCGGAACGCCTCCCTGGCGCATGCTTTCACGTAGTTCAGCCTCCCGATGTCCGATTCCTGGACCAGTCTCGAATCTTTCCCAACAACTCGATCGATTTCCTCCGTGGCCTTCGCCATGAGGTTCGGTTGGTTGATCAGCTCGGCCATTGCCCATTCCACTGCGTTCGATGGGTTGTCTATGGACGCCATCATTATCTCCTGCATGGCAGAGTGTTTCAAAGTTAGAATATATCATGTACATTTTTACGCCATCAAATTCGGATCATAGGTTCACTGGGTTTGAGAATATATACCGTAGCTTGGCTCTTGATTTCGTGGGGAGTGAGCAAGGGTTTCCCTTGTTCGTCGTTGACCGTGATGAAGAAGTCAAGTAGGTCGTCCATTTCCGTCTTCTCTCCGTTCCTCCACTCCTGGATCCTCGCGTCGATGATAGGGTCTTGGTAGCCTCGAATGGTCTCGTTGGCTTCATTGATAATTTTCTCCTTTCCGTCGACGTTCCATCCCCACAACCACGGGAAGAAATCCGATAAACACGACCAATACAGGTACTTTAACGCCGTGAACACGGCCTCCACGTGTTTAACTTCCATCTGTCCGGGCCCACCGTCCACAGTTGGCTCGCCGAAAAACCTATGAATGTATTGAGTAATGTCATGTAATTATAAAATTCCAAAAAAAAATCCAAAAATGTCATGTAATTATCATAAATTTGCAATATTTATTAATAATTACTGCTAAATTATCAACATTGATAAATACTAATGATAATTGAACCCAAATACATGAGTATCTAACTTAATTAGTTCAAAGCGAATAAAATTCAGTGCGGATAGATATTGCGTGTGCGTTTTGTCCGCTTTTGAAATTAGCGGAAAGGGTCGGGTTTTGGGTCTTGCCAAAATCCAATCCACTTTCCACCAGACTTACACTCATAAAGTAAAACGAGGTCATGTTATCCATAATTAACACAACACAAATAATTTATAGATAGTATTAGTGTTCATGACAATATAAAACTAATGATATATATGAATAATTTATGAATGTTACTAGTTTTTATAAAGATATATATGTATATGAAAAATTTTGATAACTTTATAATACGAGTGTTATGTTTGGGAAAACCCACTCGTTGGATTGAATTGTACACTATTTTCACTTTTAAAACATAATAAATATTTTACCCGATTTTCTTAATGAACACACTCGTTTGATTGAGTTTGAATTTACAAAAACTATTTTCTGTCATCCTAATAATAACATTGATAATTCGCAATGTTAACTACTATGGTCATTTGTGTCGTTCTTGGTTTGAGTTTTCGTCCCTTCTTTGGGGTTTTTCTTAGTATTTTTTCGTTGTTGTTTTCAGTTTTGTTTATTTTCTTGCTCGTTTCAACGGTTGGTTGAATTTTTATCTTATTTTCTTTTTGTCCGTCTCAATAAAATTTCCTCATTTATTAAAAAAATAAAAAAAAAAACTACTATGGTCAACAACTCATCAACATATACCTCCGCCCAAACATGATCTTCCTCATGACGTTGCCGCAGTAATGCCGCGTGGCGACCCTAAGGTCGACGCTCTTCCCCGCCATGCAGCGGCTGTGGACGTAGAAGACGAGGTTGTCGGCCTCCTCGTCCCGCTTTTCTTGCAGCCACACGTGCCTGGCGGGGGAAACTATCTCGGAGGTGAACACCTTCCGCATTTTGCGCCACTGGTCGTTGTAGGGAACGGCGGCGGTGGTGACGTATCCGCCGCTCACGGCGTGGCTGCCGAAGGAGATGGAGCGGTCGGCAAAGATGGCGTCTTTCTTCTTCAGCATCTCCCTGGCGATGGCGGGGTCGAGGACGGGGACCAGGTTGGCGCCGCCGGGGAGCCGGATTAGGCAGATGTCGGTGTTCATGTCCTTCATCAACTTGTGGACCCACCGGAACATTGGCTTTTTATGGATTATGATCGCCGGGAGGTTTCCGACGAGGGGCCATGATGGTGACGGGCTCGGAGGGAGTGGCGGGAGCTTGGAGGCGGCGGCTCGTGTGTTCTTGATGAGTTTCGATAGGGTTATGGAGATGATGAGGAATGTAACGAGGAGGGATGGTATGATTACGGCGGCGGATGCTTCGCCGGGATAGACTATCGACATTGCCGCCGGCGAAGGTTGGAGTTTTATTGAGTAGCGAGTATGTAGCAACTTAGTTAGCTACTTCTTTGCTTTGGGCTGATAATATATATAGTAGTTGGGTGATTGATACTTGCACGTGAAAAAGGGATGTTTATTCTTTGTTTACCTAACATTCGGAAGCAGTAGTTATCATGGTATTAATTCGCTAGTGGAATCACATGCATTGACGTTGTCCAAACTCATCAGCTTTCTTCTTATGGAGCAGTCTGCAGTGCCCAAATCTGCTAGCTAGCTAGCTAGATATGGTGCATGCCCTTTAGGCTGGATTTCCAGTTATCTCGGTTATAACCGATAACCGAAATGTCTATTACCGGTTAACCGCGAAGCCAGACACGCCTACCGTTAACCGACCGACGAATTATATCGGTTATCCGACAACCGAAAGGTTGGTTACCGGTTAGTTGCTCGGTTAACCGTGGTAACCGCGACAGCACAATTGAGGCAAGGTCGCGACGGCGGAGCGAAGGGGATGGCTGGCGGCAACTTCGCGTTGGCGGAGCAAGGGGCTGGTTCGTCGTCGTCGCGACAGTCGGGGAGGGAGATGGTCGATGGAGGGGAAAGGAATGGCGCGGGCGAAGCTCTCGACGGCGGGGCTGGCGACGGCTGGCTGGCGTAGAGCGGCGGCGACGGAGCGAAGGGGATGGCTGGCGTAAAGCGGCGACGTCACTCTTCAGGGTCGGGGAGGGAGATGGTCGATGGAGGAGATGGCCGTTCAGGGTTGGGTGGGCGGCAGGGAGAGTGAGGCTGTGAGGGGCTCAGGGCTGCGATATAGAGAAGAGAAGGAAAGGGGTAAATGTTTGATAAGGGTTTAGGGAATAGGAGGGCGGCGTCGATTTACGAAATGAGGGGAGGGGGTTAGATGTGTCGGTTAGCCGGTTAACCGACATACCTAACCCTGCTACCGAACTCCGTCCACAGACACATTTTTCGGTTAGTCGATTAACCGGTATACGCCGGTTATCGATCTAACCGGTATACGCCGGTTATCGATCTAACCGGTAGGTTAACCGGCAACCGATAACCTAACTTCCAGTCCTATTGCCCTCGCCAAAACAATGGAAAGCCCTACTTGATGCAAAAGTGAGCCAAAGAAACCTTTTCTTCTTTCCTCGTACTGAACAATTTGGGTATTGTCCAAATCCGATGTACTATGGGTCAATTTTAGGCAGTATCACTTTTGTTTTTTTATAATCAAATCTGAATATTATGATATTCATTTCATTCGCACTTGGTTTATGGGTTGAGATGGCAAATAGATTGGATTCGTGAATTGGATTAGTAGATTTATGGATTAACTAGATTGGATTCATAGATTGAATCAAGTGGCTTGATGGATAGTGGCAGACCCAAAAATTTTACATAGGGATGTCCTCTTTTAAAAAATATATTAAATAATAAATAATTCTTAAATAAGAAAATACCTGACTGGTACGAAGTTAAAAAAAATTCACAAAGTGTTTTCATATTCGAAAATAATTATAGAATACACTTGGTGTCTACACTGCTAAAAAAATTGTCTTTGTATGTCATACTAGACAATCATTCAAGAACTGATCGCATATTCGATTCTTAAATTGTTATTGATGGAACCCAAAGTTAAAAAAGACACTTTCTACACTTACAACCATAAAATTAATAAAAATTAAAGGTAGCTTGAAATTAGTTTAGTTGTTATGTTTTGAAAACAATTAGAGATAGTGAATGCCATTTTACTATTACACTGTTAAAATCGAACAACAAATGAGTTGTAATCTAATAGAAATTATGTTTATTAATAATAGTAATGTCGTCATAGGTTCGAATTACCCAAACTATCACTTATATTCCCATACACAAACTAAAAAATGAGAGTAGGATAATCACTTTTCCAAATTTCAGGAGTGTCCCCATTATCAATTATAAGCTTTTTGTCCATACGTAAATTATCACCGGGGGTTGGATAATCATTTCTTCAAAATTTAGGGGTGTCCCGGGTCACCCCCAAAACTCCCCTGGGCCCGCCCCTGTTGGTGTATTGATCCATGAATCCATATATATGAGTATGACATACAAGTCTTGGACCATTTTGTAAATTTTGAATAGTTTAGGTACTAAAATGTCTAATAAAAAAATTTAGGTACCAAAATATAATTTTCCAATGATATATTTATCCTAAAAATAAATTTTAGGTACCAAAATATAAAATATAAAAAGTATAGGTGCTAAATCGTAATTTATCACTCTCTAACACGCCCCCTCAAATGAAAGCCAACCCATGAGCTTGAAGTTTGCACAGGCCCAACATACCTTGTGCTTTAATCCAATGTTAATATTGGGGGTCGTGGAGATTCGAACACACGACCACTTGGCCAAACCAGCTCTGATACCATGTCAAGAACCAGTTGATCCCAATAACTCGAGTTGTTGGGAGAAGGTTCTGCTGGATCTTATACCACTCTCTAACATGAATCACAAGCAGACAATCCGTCTTGATCTCTCGCCTGGCCGTAATCCATGGGTTCTCTCCATCCTTAACCCGAAACGAATTGCTTGCGCTTCCGCCAGTTCCGGGGACCACCGTCTTCGCATTCTGACTACTACTACATGTCGGAAAATACCCTTCCACATAGATCAATTTGGGTTCCTAATCAAAATCCAAATATTAATTTGGGTTCAATCAAATACCCGCATGATAATTGACACATTCACTGTTAAAAATACACAAAGGAAAGTGAGAGCAGGATAAAAATAGAGATTGGCCAAACTTCAGTTGTGATATAGTTGTTGTCCCAAATAGGGATTAATTACTATTACCTCCCCAAACTTTGCTACTTAATTTCTTTCAGGCAACCCCAGAGTCTTGAACGACGTAAACCCGCCGTCCACCACCAGATTATGCCCGGAAACGTACTTGGCATCCTCCGACGCCAGATACACCGCCGCGTTCGCCACGTCGGCCGGCTCGCACCTCGCCCCCTTCAGCGTCCCCATGGCGTACACGATATCCATGATCCTCTCCGGCTTCTCCCCGGCGTAATAGTGCTGTAGCTCCTCCATCACGAACGCCGTCGGAATGGCGAACGGGGAGATGCAGTTCACCCTCACCCCGTGGTGCGAAAGCTCCGCCGCCGCCGACTTCACGATGGCGATGACCGCCGCCTTGGTCAGGCTGTACGTGTGCTGGGCCATCCCGCCCATGATCCCCGTCACGCTGGCGGTGCACAGGATGGTCCCGCTCTGCTGCGGAATCATCACCCGCGCCGCGTGCTTCACGCCCGCCAGCGCTCCCCTCGCGTTGATTCCCATCACCTGTCGGGATATAAGATAGGACGTGTCAAGAATCAGTTCATCTCAATAACTTGAATGGTTAAAAAAGATTCAATTATGAATCACATATTATTTACTAATACAATAATATCTCACATACGGAAAACAGACTCATATGAGCTTTAAGTTTGTACATGTATGGATATTATCTGCTTAATAGATCACAGATTGATATAATCGGGATTCGAACAGAAAACTTCTCGGTTACAGAAGATTCTGACATCATCTTGTTAGAAATTCGGTCGTTATGGGTTTCTATTATTAACTATAGTAGGACTATTATTATTAGGATTGGTAGCGTTTCGGTAGAACTATAGTTTTCCAGTATTTTCCCGGCAATTAATATATACTTTGGGTTTATGTCATAATTCATCAAGAACAATATTAGAAAAACTATTAAAACCCTAATCTCTCTTCCTATCAAACTCGCGTTTATCTCTTTTTCAAAAACTTCGACCAATTTTTTCTTCCTCTGTTCTTCCCCAAATTCTAATCTCAATCTTTAATTTCGATCCTCTAATTTTTAATTCATTTCTCAATCCCTAAATTCTTTCTATCCATCCTACCTCGTTACAAGTAATTGTAAGTGTCCAAAATTTGAATTATTGGGAGAATTTTAATTATGAATCATATAACATTTATTAACAATACCTACCTATAGACTACAGAGTTGGAATCTAAAATGTGGTGTGAGTGCATGTTATACAATAACCTTACCCTGTCGAAGGTTTCCAGGTCGAGGTCGACGATGCTGGGAGGGGTTCGGCAGGAGACGCCGGCGTTGTTGTACATGATGTCGAGGCGGCTGTGCTGGGACACCGCGAAGTCCACGGCGTCTGACACGTCGGATTCGTTGGCCACGTCACAAGGAATGAATGATGCCCTGGGGCCTAGCTGGCGTGCGGTCTGGAGGCCGAGGTCCTTGTTGATGTCGGCGATTATGACTTTGGCGCCGTTGTGGATGAATTTGGCGGCGGTTTCTCTCCCTATCCCATTTGCTCCTCCGGTGATCACTGCTATTTTGCCTTCTAGCTTCCTGCCGGTTATACAGATAATAGTTTAGTACCATGTTGCCAAGGTAATTGTTGAGAGTGCATAAACTAGTCTACCATGATTGTGCACATATGGGGGAGAATAGCAAAGAAGAAGAGTTAAGGGATGTTGAGGTTACTTAAATCGAGTTAGTCTTGAGTCTTGTTGGGTCCGGGTTGGATCAGGTCTTTAAACCTCATTGTTTAAGGATGTTCTTAAACCATTTTTATTGGCTGATACTAAATTAGGTAGTTAATGAGGGATGAGTAGTTAATAGTTAGCTTAAATAAATAAGATATTATGAAAATATAATTAATATTACTCATTAATGATTCTCTTTCTCTCTCCCCCTTGATATTCTCCATAACCCTCTCTCTCCACTACAATTAAAAGGAAATTCGAAATTTATTTAATTAAATATTATTATTTAATATTTAATAATTTTGAACTTAATATTCTTTATTCTTTAAATGAAAATTGAAAATTAAAAATATGATCTCTCTCACTTAGTGGCAACTTGCAATGCAGTATTAACATTTTGCAATGACATTATCAGCATTTATGAAATGAATCGCTATTATTATACCTCATCATTATTAACGACTTCAATATACTTATCAATTTCTTACAATTACATTATTAACAATTTTGGATCAATTGTTACCGTTTTATAGTTTCGTCATCAACGCCTATGAATGGATAATCAAAGTTATGTAATATGGTCATTAACAGTTGAATAACAATATCATTGATTTACAACATCTTTAGCACTAATGATTCACATTTTCATATCATGTTTATAACTATCTAGTCATGGCCTCTTCCAATGATTGCTAATGACGTTATTAACGTTTTATGATCAATTAATATTGCTTTACATTATCATTCTCAATTATCATAAAGCACAATACTTACTTTCAACATCTTGGGTACTTGCGACATAGTGCACATGTGTGATTCAGTCAAACAAACATTGTCAAGAAAAATAATAGCTCAAGCAAACCAACATTCACGCCTCAACACCAAACTTTTAATAACAATACAATAAATCATTGATAACTAAAAGTATTTCATTGAAAATAAACACAAAACATCAATGTAAAAATGTCCGACTTTAACATTATAAATGACATCACTTTTAATAAAGATATTAAAAACCATTAATAACGAATGATCAAGTCACTGATAAGGAAATAGATTTTTGTTATAAAAAATATTCATATTAATAATATTCATATACAATGTTTAATGTAAAATAACACTAAAAATGCATTAATAAGTAACATGTGTTTAATGGTTGCATCCAAAAACTTTGATAATGATAGCAACTAATGATTGTTAAGTACCTTACTAGATATTATTAATATCTTATTTTTTTAAACATTGATAATGCTTATACACACCTATTAATAATGACACCAACTACATTACTAACTTATACTGAAAGATTAATAACCATAGTTATATCATTAAACGTAAATTCACTTTTGCTAATGTCATAAACAAACGAATACCTAACAAGTATGCTTCTTGATATAACATTTGACAAAGTTACAAACATTAATAATAGCACTTCAAATGATTATAAATCATTGTGAACCAAATTGATAATACAAGGTAATAGTAAATAAACTTCAAGTACCAACAAATTGAAAACACAATTTCACTTTTGCTAATATTACAAACAAAACATAACATAAAAAGTTAATAATGTCTATAAATTTATTAAAAAACATGTCGAACAACACTAATAATAACACAAATGAATATCTAACAACGAAAAATCATAAACCCATGCAATGAAAAGCCCTAATGATGATTCAGTTTATAAATATTGATAATGTCATTACAAAATGTTAACACTAATCGGAAGTTATCAAGATGTGAGAGAGGCATGTATTTTAAATTTCAAATTTACATTTTAGAAAAAGAAAATTATTAAATTCGGATTTTATTAAATAATATTAAATAAAATTAATTTCATATTTCTTTTTAATTATAATGTAGAGAGAGGGTTATGGAGAAAATCATGAGAGGAGAGAGAAAGAGAATCATTAATTAATTATATTTATATAATCTCATTTACCCTTAACTACCTATTAACTACTAACATCATTTACTACCTAATCCACTATTAGTCAATAGATAGACTTTAAGATTCTTCTTAAGAAATGAGACTTAATGACTTGAACTCAAACCGTAAACACGACATGGAATAAACAATCATATTCCATAACCAACAACAGAAAGATAACGAATTCTCGTAAGTCAAATGTATTCCCCCTCGTTTTCGTTTCAACATCTGGCTATCGTCTAGCCATGACAAACACCATAACCACGAAACAAGGACGTCGGCTGGCTCTCTTTGCTCCGACTGCGGGCCACAGCCCTTAACATCGGCGAGGCCCAATAATGTGGAAACATGTTTGATTGGACAGCACCACTATGGCCCAATACTATATGGATATGGACGGCAGCCCCGACAGGGACATGCAAACGTAAATAGAGAGGGGGGGGGGGGGACCACTAGTCGGGAAAGATGGAATCAATTCCCATAAAAAAAAAATCTAAAAATGCAAAGAAATTGCGAGCGTAGTATAAGACAAACAGAAGATGAAAACATTGGAGGGACAAAGGAAGTGTTCCTTTTGTTTTAACGATTAGATTAGACGAGCAAGTTGCAGAGAGAGACAGAGAGACAACAACACATGCACGGTTCAGAGCTACTGACCTACTAGCTACTCTGAGATCCCAAAGTAATTAAACATGGAATTAGTTTCACCCTAATCAATGTACTAGTTAATCTAACCGCACCAGTTTTCTGGAAAATTTGACTACTAGCTGGAAGTGAAAAAAGAAGCAGATGGTAATTAATACAGTAATGAAAACAGAGGTGGGTGGTAAACTGGTAATTGGTTTTCAATTAAATTAAGGTAATTGAATTAAATGGAAGGGAAGACCCACCTACCTGCTTTCAGTGCCACTTGCCGGCGAGGTCGAGAACAGATGTTTAAGAATGTTGGCCGCCCCCTCCTCCGGCGACGGAGCTCTTAACAGCAAACCTCTGTTCCTAATCAAATAGGGATCTGATTTGTTAATACAGTCTCCATCACAAAGGAACAAGAGCAGCGAATGAAAAAGGCATTTGGGTTTGTAATATTACTTACCTGGAAGAACCCATGATCGCCCTCGACATATCTATGAACTCTCCCCTTCTTTTGCTGGCTCTGTTTCCGGTCAAATGCGGCAGCGGGCAGAGAGTATGGAAGAAGAAGAAGGAGATAGTGATGATGAGGCTTATGATAGTTCAAAATTGGAGAAGATTTGGTCTATTTGATTCTCAATCTTACATCAACATAAAAAAGAATTCCAACTTGGTCAAGTTGGAGATTTGTTTGAGAATTGAGAATCCCCCACCTCTCATGGGGATGATCACAAGATTGATCAGTAGATCTATTGGGCTGATGTAGCCTGTAAAGCCCAGGAATTAACGTTTGACGGGCCTCCAAGCCATGAGAAACGAAAACTAGTTAATCTGATGGAGGCCCAAAAGAAGCCATGAGAAGCCCATCTTCATTTCATTTCTCTACTGAACGACATCGTTTGAGAATGCTAATTGTAGGGTTTATGCCTTAAGGCGCCATCTTCGTTTACCCCTTTCACCTCGATTTTCTCTGTTGCAGAAACCCAGAGAGACATGGCTTCCATCTGCAGGTCCGCTGTAATGGCGGGCGCAAGGTCTCTAGCACCACGGTCAAGAACCCTAACTCAGAATTCCCTCTTCTCGTCGTCTGCCTTCACTTCACCCTCTGCGACGCGGGTAGTCCGAAGCGCTTCAAGGTAGAAAATTCAGTACTATAGGATCCCATTTGCAGTTCAGAATCCCTAGTTTGGCTTCCAATTTCTTCGCTTTTCCTTCTCTTTTGGTTTGTATTGTTTCGATTAGTTAACCCATTTTTTATTATTGGCTTGGTTCTTAGGGTTGTTTCAACTATAGGAAGCGTCGAGTCGTTGATACCGTTTCACAGCGCGACGGCCAATGCGCGGCTTATATCCAGCATTGCAGCTGATTCCTCTTGCTGGAGCTGGCTTTCTCAAGGTGATTACTTATCTTTCAAGCTACCCTTTATCACTCTACTTTTAGTACCTTTTCCTTTCTTTCGTGTCTAGTTGCTATATCAGTGATTCTGGAGTTCTATAAAGTTGCCTCTGCATACTTCTATACAGCAGGATTGAATTTAATTGTGTTTATTGACTTTGCTCCGAATTTGCTTGATGTAATCCCTTGTGATTGTTAACTTATACCGGATTGAAATGAATCGTTTTTCCCCCTTCTTCCCAGTTGGTCATCAGTCATGTTGTTAGGACTTTGGATAGTTACTGTTTGATCTATTGTCCTGCGATGATCGTTGTCTCTAATTCGATATTTCATTGCTTGCACTAGGCTTTGCTACACCATTGTGACAGCACCTGGTTCATCTGTGCCCGGATAATGAATGTGAAAGGAGGGCAAACACTTTCAATTCCAGTTTTTTTGCTTCCTTGTACTGTCCAGAATTGGGAAAAGAGCTTCATTCCTTTGATGATCCGTGTTTGTTAGTGGGTTGAGGACTGTGTAATAATAGTGTTTCCTTTGCATTGACTGGTGGAAGGCTGATTATAGCAATGCACTTTTTTTAATCCGAGTCGACCTCCTGTGTTAATTGAAGCAAGTTGTTAGATCCAATGATGATATTTCTGTTAACTTGCAGTGGCAGATTTTTTCTTCAGACTTTCTTAATAGTGGCAAATCTTATAAGCTAAACCACTAGTTACCTGAATCTGTGAGGTGTATTGTTCTTCATTGTACTTGAAGTCCTTGTGCTACCATTGGATTTGAGGAACTTATTCTGCTGTTAGGTTTTACAATGTCCTATGCTCTTGGCATCCTCACTTGTGCACTAGAATTACACAACTTCTGGACCAATCCGATGTCATGGCCTTATCTTGGTCTCCATTTCTGTACATAATCGTTGCAGCTTTCCGTCTAATCATTTGTTCAATGACTTGGTGTTCAAACGTATGATCTTGTTCGGTTCTTTGGCTTATGCGTTCTTCATTACATGCTTGTATTAGCTTGTCGCACTTTAAAAACATTCTTTGCTTTGATTTTGGTTAGCCACTGATTTTGTCCCTTTTTTTTGTGTGTGAATTTCCTAGACTTCGCGATTCCTCGGTGACAAGGAATCCAGTTTTTTCAAACCAACTTGGATAGAACCTGAGCAGCCTTACTCATCCTCTTCACTCTTCTTGTTCTCACTCCATGCACTTTCAAGTAACTGTTTACGAGCTAGTAGGTGCCCTTCATATCTTGGCAACAGCCATAGTGAACTGATTTTGACAACTGGTTTATGTGTATCCATCGTTGTCTCGAGTGGCAACCATTAGACTAATGTATGCTTGATGACATTGGTAGAATGAGTTCGTGAATTGTTGAGATATGCTGCTTCACTAAGAGTTGTGTTGTTAGTTTGGTTCAAGTCAAAATCTTTCAGCAGCGGGCACCCTGCTATGAATAACAGTCATACTCTGTTCTCCATCTCCTGCTTCTCATAGGAGCCGTATGGAACCTGAGATTTTGAATGATGTTATTTTGGAGAACACATGCATTTCAGAAATCCATAGTTTTTAGATTATATGCGACAATCAAGTAGCTGAACATGGAAAGGGCATCCAAGCACGAGTCTCTGTTTTTGTCCCTCTCTGTCTCGTTCATTTTTTATCGACCGTCTAATCTGATTCCCAGGTCAATTCGTATCCACATATTGTAGCCAGTCGTCTCGAACCAGTGGGCTCACACACCCACTGAAGCTTCATACGTTTCAGGTAGTCGTGCCTAATCGCTTGCCACTAATCACCTCTTTTCTAAATTCTGCTTTTGACCACAAATACAAGACTATTTCCTGCCGACCATGTGAATAAGCTTATATAAGATATTTACTTAGAACCGATTTTAGTTGCAAATTGACAATGCAGCTATAATGAGATAAGAATTGAACTTAACGTCACTTTCAATTACACCGGCCTCTGTGATTCTGAATGCTCCTGCTGTCCGTTTCTGCTTGTTCTTAGGATAAGATCTAGAGAATATCGGATGCAGGATGACCCTACTGCTCCTGTTAGCTCTTCAATTCCATTCCTAGAATACATTTTCTATCCTCCTTAATGAACATGCAGCCCACCATTTTCATTTCAGAAGAAAAGAGGAAAAATCCCCTTCATACCCCATCTCCTCTGTTTTCTCCTTCGTTTACGCAATCGGATCCAATCGCAAGTCGAAAGTTGGAACCCATTTTTCCTTCAGGACATTCTACAATTGGGCTCTTTCTCATTCGTTCTGATTGTTGAAAAGGCTACGGGGTTTTCTTCTTCCTTCTGGGTTTTGATATGTCAAGTTTGCTACTGGTACTGCTTGTATTTCTATGGCGTCGGTGTCCGGGTAGAGCATCAAAAGCTGTGAAAAGTGAAAAATCCCTTTGTTGTCGCTGGAGAAGTAGAATTTCTTCTCGCAAAGGCCTCCACTTCGATCCAAAGATTGGGGCTTTGAGATTGTTGGGGTGAACGGTGAGTTGGTTTACCCTGTTTTAACCTCTTATCTTATTTGGGATTGTTGGGGTGAACGTTACCAACAATTTTCTCATTGCTCTTGCTTCGATTGATTTGAGACTGCTTACCAGAAAGAAATAAAGAATACTGTCTGCTTGCTTACATCACATGCTTAATTTATGTTCTAATGCCTTCAGCTTTGCTGGGATGTCTTGTGTAGCCCTTTGGAATGTGATATACTCTGTTGTATGATCCAAGTTCCTATCTTTATTTACTGGGCTTGTTCCATATTGTTCTCTTGTCTTGTTCCATATTAGGTGAAGAGATATACCGTGAATGTTTCATTTTGTTAGAAACTTCTTTTACTGTTTTCTCAGTGCACTTTTGGCAATAAATATCAATTCTGAGCCTTGATGGCCTGCTGTTTATTGGGGATAGCTTTCATCCCTTACCAGAGTATTTGGAATTATGCCTGTTTGTCTCATCTTCTTATCACGTTATCCCTTTGTTTCTTTCCTTCTTCTATTTGCATATGCTGCCTGCTTGCCTCCTTGGTCCTGACTTACCTTCAACTACCCCTCTTTTTTACTCCTACTGCAGTGGACTTGAATAGCCAGTGCGAAAACACTTTGTATATGTGCCTTCCTGTCTTCTACTGTTCCCTCTACTTGCCACTGGACTTGAAAAGCCAGTGGAGTTTAGATTCCTTTGCTCAATCGTGCTACTGCTCTTGCTTGTATGTAGTTCTATTATATTGATTTTCAGGGATTTGAGTTTCATCAATGTGACTTTATGAGTTTTTGCCTGCAGCGGATAGGAATAGCATATGAACTGACTGGCTGGACATGATGGAAGCATTTTGTTGAAGGTTGGAAAGAGTAGGGATTGATTGATCAATTCGTTTCTTCAGCTTTTGTTATGGAGAAAACATCTAATGGATATACTATGCCAAAGGAAAATGGCCATAAGGTATCACCAATATCATTACCTTGGCTTGATTTGAAAGTATTCTACGTCCGAGTTAGCAAGTGTAAGATTGACGATTCAGAAACACCGGAATACCTTATTGTAAACCACGTTCCGTTGACTCCTGATAGCCTTCTTGAAGTCAATGGTGTTAGGACACTCATAGATTCAGACGGAGCATCCACCCTCCTTCGAAGAGACCGGCTGGATAAGAAGTCTGAGGAAGCTACATTCGTTAGCACAGACAATGTGAGGACGACAGGTAGCATGAGGTTCAATGTTTTCAATAACGATACGTTGATATTACGCGGGGAGTTGGAACTGAGAAACAATTCTCATCAGAGATGGAGCATGAAGTGCGAGTCAGACATTGTGGCTACTTGCAGCAGCAGCACCAGCTTCCCGAAACCGAAACAGTTTATGGGTTCAGAATCACCGAGCTCGCCTAGGATCGAGGTCTATGTTGCAGGATCATTCTTGGGGAGCCCAATTATCTTAACCAAGGCTTTGCATCTCAATGTTTATGCGAACAGAACGATTATAGGAGGATTCATGAATTCTATACCTGAACATGGTGAGAATGTTGGGACTCTTGTGGAGAATGGGCCATCCAACTGGCTTCATCTACAGGTACAGAATTACAGATCTAAGTGTGTATTGTGTTTCTAAGTATGATAGATGATTAGTTAGCACTGCATAGTGATTTCTTTTTTATCTTTGTTGTATTGATGACCGATGCAGTCAGCAGAATCCCCGTATGTACAGAAGCCAGACCATGAAGAAGGGTACAATGATGCCTACCGGGGGATGGATTACCACTACATGGAGGAAGGTGAAGACGGGGAGCTGTCGTGGTTCAATTCTGGTGTTCGAGTTGGTGTTGGGATCGGATTGAGCGTTTGCCTTGGGATCGGTATAGGTGTAGGGTTGCTGGTTAGAACATACCAAGGCACAACTGGTAACCTCAGGAGGAGGCTATTCTGATTATGGAAGTTAGCAGCGACAATCCACTATGGAAAAGGCCAACTTCTTGTTTCTGTTATCGAATTTTAGTACTTAGACGTTGTTAGGAAAACCATTTTGATGCCATCAGTTTGACATATGCAGAAGTCGTTTTCATTGTGGATTTTGGGTGACTATGATGTGAGTGGTTGATTTTCATGATTTCAAAATCACCCTGATTTCTTCTCGACAACCCAATGCAACCAATTCAATAGGACTTGATGAAGGAGAGATGTTCTTAGTGACAGAGCATTCAAGAGTTCTGTTCTACCAAAGCCAATACTAATAATATTCACAAACTCGTTCAACAATACTTTCACACGTAATCATTATCTATTTATCTTTAGTTCTTTACTCTAAGAACCATTCATAATGATTCTTATTGGAAGATTAGTGTCATGTGGAGATTTGAATATAACACTTTGTTGAAAAAACAAAACAAACGAGAGCTCAAATAAACTACTACTAGTTTTTGACCCGGTCTGATGGCCGGAAATTTTCATTTTATAATTTATATAAATTAATTTATCTATATGTTTAAATTTTTTTTAAAATTCTAATTTTTTATGCTCTCACTTCATATGTGAGTATTCGATATGATTAATAATTCTCAATACTTAGCACGCTTATTGATGATGTTTCGATTCTCTAATCATAAATCATATTGTAAGGGTTTATCACGTCCCATTAGAGCTGGGAAAATAGACCAGACCGTTAGAAAAATCGTTATCCAAATGGTACCGCACAATTTGGTCTGGACCGTAGACCGTTAAATATGGTATGGTCTGGTCTGGTCCATGACTCCATTATTAATTTATGTTTTGATTTCTTGGTCTAGTTTGGTCTAGATCGCGATTTACCGGACCAAACCGTGGACCCAACCGACTTGTCAATACATGTTAACAGCCCATTCGACCACTCTCCCAACTCCCATAACGACACCCAAGTCTCAACCTTAGTTTTGTGAATCTCGTCCCTTTTTCATTCACAACCACATTTAACCAGAGAGTAGAGATAATTGTGTCTCCATATGACATTATATTAATGTTTATAACGTTATGGTGCAAGTTGGGATGCTTTTGCTTTGTATCTTTGTTATGTACTAAGATTTAGGGTATCAAAATTATTCATGCATGTTAGGATTAATGTGTTAAGGCAAATAACAATTATTTTTCTTGGTTATTGGTTCAATTTTTTGTGTGGTTGACTAAACAAATTATTCAATTTTCGTTGAGTGTGGTCTATCTGGACCAGGCCAGACCGAACCAGACCACACAGGCGTGGTATGGACCGGACCGTATAGTCTGTGGTCTAGTCTATGGTCTATACTTCAGCCTCTCGGTCTGGACCATAGACCGTATATATGACCAGACCGCACCGTTTCCCAGCCCTAAGTCCCATTTAAAATAGTACATAAAGATTTGTCAACCAAAGTGTTCCCATTTATTATCTTATGAAACATATAATAATTTCTGATTCTCGAGCTAGGACATATTCTCAACCGATTATTAAGAGTTCAGATTATTGGATAAATATACTTGAACTACTCGATAAATTGTGTATATCCCGAGTGAAACGTTGACACTACCCCTTACGATGATCAACTTCTCTAATATTGACTCATTTTCATGGGAATGTTCATGAAGTTTCGGCTAACGATCTTATGAAAAAAATTGTCTATCAAGAGACTCAGATTTAGTATCTTATATGTAGAGTAAATACAATTTATTAGTCAAATCTTTTAAACTTTTCAAATTATCAACCAACCTTTCAAAATACAAAGTATTAGCCAAACGTTAACTCCATGTTAGCATTTTTATTAGTAATATTGACTCAACAACATGAGGAAGAGTTGGAAGAGACACATGACGGTCTATATTCCAATTTAGCATTTTAATTAAGAAATGAGTTACAAAATTATTAATGATAACAGAAAAATGGTTAATATTTTGATGTGATACATAAAATTTGGCTAATATTTTGTATTTCGAAAAGTTTGGCTAATAATTTGAAAATGTTGAAAGGTTTGGCTATTAATTTTTATTTACTCAACATGTATAAATTGCTAATTCTTGAAGTTTAGACTAACCATCACTCATGGTTGTTGTCTATATGTTGGATTAGAATCTCAAACCAAGACAATCTCACACACTATCAAGGGTTCTCGTCTTAACATGATCCTTTAGAGTATAATTTCCAATTTTTTTAATGTGCATTTGTAAAAAAATTCTTATTTTTGGTGTTAGTTCTGGAACAAAATTTTTGATTGTAAATCTTAATAATTGATAAAACATGTCTACAATGCACATAAATTTTCATTACAAAAAAAAAAAAAATTAAAACTCATACAAACATTGTGATATTTCACATACATATGAAGTCTTGGATGTATTGTAGATACATCTATTGTTAATACTAAGCATATATAAAGAGTTTACTTATCTTTTATCCCTAATTAGTAATTAAGACCTTTTAACCCTAAATACATATTGCTTTTTGTTACAAACTAAAACATTTTTGTTTTGACACTTTTGATATGGTAAATGTTTTTATTATTGCCAAAATTTTGTATGGAGTCATAGACTCACAACCATGCAACCAAATAACTTATTACAGTTGCCTTGTTGATTTCATCCTTATAAAGATTCTTCACTTTTAACCTATAGCTCGGTTTAGACTCTCGAAATTATAAAGACTTTTGGTGTAGAAGACATTCAACTATATATTAGACAAAAATTGTCAACTCATGTTTGATCAATGCTAGGTCAGTGGTTGATCAAACATAATGTTTATCGTACATCGTCAACAAAGATTTCTCTAACATTCATACATGTCATATAATACTTGTGCACCATCAAGTTTCTATCAAAACCTTTTGTTATATAATACTTATTTTATTTGATAAACTTCATAAATAGATCATTAACTAACTTTTTTGTTTGTAAAAAAATTATCCACCTTGGCAACTTGTGAATTCTCCAAATGCTTATGTGGCAAGAAGTTGCTTTTGAACAACCATAATATATAGTAAGATTACTAGCATTGAACCCGTCCCTCGGGTGAGCTGAGTTTTATTTCTTATATCTATATTAATTTTAAAATTTTCATTATTTTAGGTCCTTGAGATCTTAAATATTGTTCTAATAAAACTTTCATAAATGATTTATGCTCCTTTATGTTCTAATGCTTTGTGAATAGTGATTTGTGATCTTTCGAGTATGAACTCAATAAAAGTTTGTTAAACCATGATTTGGTGCAAGTAATTTGTCAACCGATCACTCCTTAACTTTGATCCTATCGTTTAGGCAATAAAGAGTAAGAACATTAAACTTAGATTTATTCCAAAAAAAAAATTGTCATCATTTCTATAATTATTGTAGTGAATTTATCTAAAATCATACAAATTATTAGTGATTTTAAACATGCATACCGTTTCTTTGTAACTTTCGGTTTTGAACTATTTTCATTAAAAGTGGATAGCAAACTGAAGATCAACTTTAAATTTTAAACCTTATCTCTTATATTTGAAAACTCTGATTGCATATTTGACATGCTTTTATCATTGTCCTTTTTGACTTGATGATAGTTAACATACAAATTTATTGTAGATTTTAATTTTATCAAGACATCAGCCACAAATGAAGAACTTTTCATAAAAATAAACTCAAGTTTTATCATTCTAAAAAGGTCATGCTTTTTATGAAGAACAAAGGTCATGTTTCTAGACAAAATATTTTGATAAAATTAATGTTGGGAAAAATATCAGTGTAATAAAAATACATTCGAGACGCATTTTGTTTCTCATGTGGAGTATGAGGTCTGCTACTTCACTATGTATGACGTTATAAAGGTGACAATCCCCCACCATATTGATATTATGAGATAGAGGAGTTTTTTATCGATAAAATTATTATTGAACCAGTTTTCGATAAAAGAATATGTATATAAAAGAACAATATATAAATTTCATTTTATAAAGTACTACACATAATAATTAAAATAAACAAACCACGGGCAAAAATTTGCTGGTAGATTCCATTAGGTGAAAACCTAACTACTGCCTTCAAAAAACAAAAGTATTTATAATGAAAAAAGAAACGTTAATCCTAACTACCGCACAAATAGGTGGAAAACCAAAACAAAAATAATTTAAAAAAGCTTAAAAACAAAAAACGTCAATTTCGATGTAGTGCACATAGCGGAATATGTGTGCACCAACTCACAGCGCAGGGGGAGGCCACGTCGTCCAAAACAGGAACGGAGGGCCAAGATTGGTCGGCTGCGTGACGAGCTGGGGGAAGGAGAGTAGCCGCCAAGGAGCTGGGGGGAGTTGAGCCGAAGGGTTTTTAGTGGGGCCCTACAAACCTAAGGAGAAAGCAAAAAGGGGGGACTCAAGGGAAAAACTCATAGCTAGAAAGCAGGGGACAGAAGGAGAATCGTTGTCGCCGGTATTCAACACAAGAAAGGCCGACCAAACTATAGAGAACTCGAGGAAGGACGATTCTTCCTCGTCAAAGATGTCCTAGTTTTCGGCTCGCCTGCTCGTCGCCTAACTCCTTCCTTGTCCTCGCCTTCCTTGTTCCAACGTGCTCGACTTCCTCTTTCTTTCTCGTCGGGTCGAGATATCTTTGTTTCTGGGTGGGGTGGTGGTTTCTGGGTCGAGGAGAGCAAAAGAGAGGAAGAAGAACTGAGAAATAAGAATAAGAGAGAAAGAAGGAGCAGAGAGAAAGAAGAAAAGAAGAAGGGTGGAGGATACGGTTGGAGTAGACAGTTTTAGTTTTTTTCAATTTCAAATTTCTCCCATCTAGCAATCCCACCCCTTTCCCTCTACACTCGACTCAGGCTTCCCTTTCCCCCCTTTTCTCTCTTACGCCCAGCTTGATCATTCCTAGCCAATCATTTTTGGCTTGGATGACGTGGCCCAATGAGCGTGTTGTTAGTTGGTGCACACATAAAATGCAATGTGCACCATACCGAAATTGAAAAAACGCGGTGAAGAGTTTGGGGCTTACGTAGAGGGGTCTTTTATGAAACTACTTTAATATATTTTTAAGATTCATAAAACCGTCAAACAAACCAATATTATATGAAAATTATACTTATTTCTAATAACTATTCATAATTTATCTCATGGGTGATTAGCAAAGTATATTGGGGATTTGAGGTAATTATTTACTACTTGAAAAGCAAAACAAACCTTCACAAAATAAACTAATATAATTCATAAAAACATATATATAAAAAGTATTAACGAGTAACTAGTTTCCATATATATAGCAATTTATACACATGTTATATAACATGAGTTTACTATATCTATATGTGTTATATATGTGTGTTAGTTGCATCTTTTTTTTTTAAGTTTGTTTTATTTATTAGATGTATGTCACTTTTTTTTTGAGAAATATGTATGTTACTTGAATAACAATTCTTTGCATCTCTCTCATTGCTTCAACAACATCTCTTCTGGGGGAATTTGAATCCTTTCTTTATTCTTCAACTTCCTTCTGAAGCAGTATGTTGTACATTATATGATACTTATTGGTGGAATATTAGCAATGAAGTAGGTTGTCATTAATCTTGTCACTTCGAAAGACATCCTCCTTGGTAAAGGCTAGTCATGATCACTTTCCTCTAGTCATCATGAGTTGTAACCATTTTCTGTTTGCTAACACAACCGCTTGGATACTTTTGTTGATTTGGTTTGATGATTATTCACAAGTTACAGACGTTTTAGAGTTTTGGTGATGATGATGTTGATCTTGGTATTGAAGTGTATCTAAATCAACCTTTTGAATCTTGAATTCCTTTGTGCAACTCCAATCAAGAGCTAGGGAAAGGCTTCAAGAATGGCTCTACTGTTTTACACCATCCCACAATTAAACAAAGCAAATCAATGAAAAAGTTACTAAGAGTCTTGAACAACTTGAAAGAAAGGAGATCTTCTAAAAGAGCAAGAGCAGAGCTGAAATCCAAACAACAACAACCTCCAAAATCCAAGGAACAACAAAGGTAAGAGCGACACCAGTTGTGGAGCTTCTCTGATCATTTGTGTGGTTGTCACACTACAAGCCTTTGGATATTTGGGGATTATGTGTTGTGACATGTACTTGTATGAGGCATCTGTGAAGTGTTGATCGTCCCAAAATACATGTTCCAAAGGACGCTTGCAGTAGGGTGCTCCGTCAAAGTCACAGAAGTGGTTATTCGCCTCGCTCTTATCGCTTCCACAACACCTCTTTTGAGGTATTTGAACCCTGTATAAACCCAAAGAAACAAATTAAAACAAGGTCACTAGCTATTAGGTATAAAATGACAGGAAAATCATCCAACTTCACTATTTTACATTAACCAACAAAACTTGAAATGAACAACAACATAACCTCATCAACTTATACATTTCTCATCTCATTTTCACTCTATCAAATTTATTTAACATCAATTATAACTTAACATAGGGGTAAAATTATTCATACTTATTGAGAGAAAAGTAGTGATCAAAGATCCACTGAACATCCTCCTAGACATCTCCATAGCCAATGTGGGTGTTCGAGAACTCCTCCCTTGTTCTTCAACTTCCTTCCGAAGGAGTTAGTTGTGGATTATATGGTACTCATTGGTGGGGTGATAGTAGTGGAGTAAGTTGTCAGTGTTCTTGTCATTTGGAAGTAGGGGTGGTAATCGGTCGATATACCGGCAATTGAAATTCTGCCGCCGAATACCGATACCGAAAATTATTCGGTATACCGGATACCGGATAAATAGTTTTTTCCAAAACTGCAGTCATTGAATTGTGAGTTCTAAATTCTCTGAAAATAAACCTTTCGGATTGTAGTATTTTTTTAATATGTAGAGAAATGTCCAAAGATGGAATATGTAGAGCTTGTATGCTCTCTCTCTATACCTTGTGAAGTTTAGATGGTGATGATGCATTCTCATTGCTTGCTGTTTGGACTCAAAATTAGCAGAGGTAGGAACAATAAAAGTTTAAACAGTGGAAAAACACAAGATGATCAGTGATTAGTGGGCTGTGGATGAAGAGATATTATGGCAACTGTATATATATAGACGAAAAGGGAAAAAGCAGCAGAGAGCTCCTGGAGGCTGGAGTCCACAGAACATGCTGTTTGAACTAAGAATTTGTGCAAATGATCAGTGATTGGTGGGTTGTGGATGAAGAGAGATTGTGGTAACTGTGGTATATATACGAAAAGATAATGGCAAGGTAACAAATGAAAGTGGGAATTTTTAGAGAGGACAGAGAGTGGAAGTGTAACAAAGAAGTTGGAGACGGAAAAGAGAAGGGTCTTTGCTCTTTGATTCGGCAACTGTTACGGCTAACTGGTGGAAAAGTGGGACACTGCGTAAGCATGGGGATATTTTTTTCGATGGCGTCTCTTAAAGCGGTGTTCCTCCCACCAGTCTTGGCATTGATCTTCATCGAGAGTGTTTCCAAGCACTGGTGACGTGGATGGTCAATGGCGTCGCTGGCCTCATTCGGATGGCGGCACTGGCTGATGATGCCAAGCTCCGTCTCGCACACGATCTTGATAATACACGTTAAATCAACAATATAATAAAGCACTTCATGAATAATTTGGCAATGCCAAAATATTATTTGTAGAATAAACTAGCTGATAATTAACATACCATATGACGATTGCGTTGGCTGGGGGAGGATGACAACCAAAACCTGGAGCTTGTGGTTGGCCTCCTTGGCAACCCTAACCAATTAGGCTCTAACATCCTCACTTCCGTGAGAAGATATTGGAACTATAGGATCCGCATTGAATGTCTATCAAATGCGAGAGACGATTAGAGCAGAGATTGAGTAGGAACTATTCATAACATCACGTACGTAGCAAATTAATACCATTCCATTAACGTTGCAAACTTCAACCAACTTCTTGCAAAACCTGACTGCAGTAGCATTTGGTAGAAAAGAAAAGTTCAAACACGTCCAGTGCTCAATTCTTGAGCCTTCTATCACTTTCTGCAATAACAAACAAGTCAAACATATAAGTGGAGCAAGAAATCAGAAAAGAAGGTAGTAAAGTGTATGAACACTTTGTTGGATAATGAAAATAAGACGAGAAAAGATACAAGAATCACTTAAACTATAAGAGTCGATCTCCCACGTCTGCCACAAATAAGCTCCACTATTTCGGTATTCCGGTATACCAGATTACATGTTATGTAACATGAGTTTACTATATGTGTTATGTATATGTTTGTGTTTGTTTTACTTGCATCTTTTTATTAAGTTTGTTTTATACTATGAAAGTGTATTATTTGTGTTATATGTATGTTACTTGAATAAAAATTCTTTGCATCGCTCTCATGGCTTCCATAACACCTATTCTGGGGGGTATTTGAACCCTATACCAAATTAAAACAAGCTTACTATTAGAACTAGAAAAGTACAAAATGACAGAAAAACAATCAAGCTTCACTGCTAAATATTAACCAACGAGACTTGCGAAGAACAACGGTACAACCTCAAAATATATACTTCCCATCAAATTTTCACTCAACCAAGTTATTCAATATCAATTGCAACTTGACAGGGCGGGGGGGGGGGGGGGGGGGGGGGGGGATTGTTCTGTTTACCAATAGATGCGTAGTAATTAAACACCTATTAGATGAGGTGGTTGGAGGATCGGATTGATGGATTCATGGATTGGATCAAGTGGATTAATCCATGAATCCAAATGACATCCAAGTCTTGGATCATAATAAAAAAAATTAGGTACAAAAATGTAATTTTCCTACGATATTTTTCATATAAAATTTTAAAATTTTGGGTACCAAAATGTAAAATATAAAAAATATAGGTATCAAACTGTAATTTGCCACTTGGATCCATGGATCAATCCATGAATCCACCAATCCAATTGGATTTGGATCAAATGGATTGGATTTAAATGGATTGAATTAGATGGGTAATTTGGTGGATGATTGAATTGAAAATTGTCACCTCTAATCCCAAACATCATCATAGACAATGTGAGCACCGAGAATAATTTTGGTTGATTGAAAAAATTTATCGGAAGTATATATAATATATATCATTTATGTTCTCGAGTTTTGCAAGTTATTTTTTTCATTTTGATTGCTTTTCTCTGTCCTTTTGTACCTTATACATTGTACTAGTGTTTATACTTCAATTTATTTCTAGAAAATCATATAGGATTTAAGTATCTCCAAAAAAGGTGGTGTGGGATTGATATGAGCAAAATGAAGAACAATTTGTGTGGATTGATGTTGCACACTGTTGTAAGCATCTTGATAGCATGTTTTCTATGGACAGTCAAATGAAAATGAATTTATATAGTGTTACAATAGATATGGTTGCTATTTTGGAAACTCGGGTTGTAACATCCCAAACCTCGGTCAATTTATAAATCAATTTGGTTTATTGGTGAATCAAGAATTTTAACTATACTCGAAGAAATTGCAACCACGCCGAATGGTTTATGAAATGACGAATATTCTGGAATGATGTATCAGAAATTGCGAACAAATCTTGATTCCACAAGTTAGAAAATTCTTCCACGATCACGTAGAATTTTACGGAACTAAGTTTAGATTCCAAACGAGTGAGATATATCATTTTGAAGTATGCACTCTGTTATTGAAATAACCTACGTACATACACTAATTTGGGCACAACTTCTTCGTTTGGAATCAAAATAACGAGCCGTTTGCGCCTACTGGATCGTAATGGAAAGAAGAACCCTTTAAAAGGTTGATATTTCATGTCAGTGTAACTGACCACGTCGACCTGACAGAGGTACCAAGAACTAGAAATTAATGTCACTTTTTCTTTAGCAAGATATATTTGATTAATGACAAAGCTAGAGATAAGAGTTGCCTCCAACTACCTGTTAAATGAAAGTAATGTGGGTGGGGAAGCTTTGTCTCAGGAAGTCATTAAACCAAAGCTAAAGAGCATCACCAAACTTCCCACTCACCTTCCCACCATTACTTCTTTATCCACCATACCATCATCTTCCACCTTATGATTCAATCCAAAAGCCAAGCTAGCACATGGAAACAGCGGCATAAATAGGCAGCATCCACTGCTTCTTTTCCCCGGGAGAAACACCAAAACCAAATTCCATACTTTGCTCATCCCCTGGTGAAGAGAGAAAGAGAGTGAATAGAAAGAGAGTGAAATTAAGGATTCTGAATACTAGGTTGTGCTCGGGAGGAAGTCATAAATCGATCCACGGAGTCAACATTCAGTTTGGAGGTCGTTAGAAGTCTCATCGGAGCTTCGCCGGAGTTTCATCGGAGGGTCACCGGAAAAAGCAGAAAAATGAACTTCAACCATACTTCAAAAGATGGGTATGGTTGCGAAGAGGGAGATCCCGGGAGCACGCACGTTTCGACGAAATTGAGTTTCGACGTCGGACGAGGGAGAAACGAGCATCGGAAGTTTGGCACAAAAATTGTTAAGTCCAGGTACCATTTCTGGTAAATCAAAAAGTTAACGGACCTTTCTGTAATTTTCCCACAGAGACGGGTCAACACATTTCAGTTGACTCGTAAACTTCGTACTTAGTCCCTGGTACTTTGAGTACTAACGGAATTCGTATTTCGTTCATAATTCGTTCGTTTGACGTCCAAACGACAAACCGTCTTCACCTACAGGATCGTTAGAACAAGGAGAATATTTTGAAACCAAGATTTGGAATTTTCAGAGATGACACAGAATCAGTTTCGTCATAAATAAGGTGTGTGGGCTTACGGTAAAAGGGAACCGGAATTACGTGTTTATTTCTAAATACGCATGATTGAGTTGATGATTAATGATTATGATGGATTTGTGATTGATTCGTCATAGTGATTTTGGATGAAATTGTTGATGAAGTTAACTGATTTTTATGATAATAATTATTATTAATCTCGTATGGGAATTGTCGACGTATATGGTGAACTCTGAATATTTTATGAAAATGTCTATTGAGATCAGAGTAAGGAAAGGAAATTTAAGGAATCTTGAGACGACATTAGTCATGATATATTACGATGAGAATCATTATATTGGTAATAATTGAGTTTTTGGAATTAATTGATGTTATGACTTTAAAAAGGTTGAAATTGTGAATTTATAAATTGAATTAGATATGAGAAGGAATTTTGGTCATAATAATTTCAGCAACGGATTTGTGAGCTTGGTTGGATATTTAGATGGATGAAACATGTTTCTATGTCGTTTTGTTATTAAAGAGATTATATTACCATTTTTTTAAAAATAATGGCGATTTAAGGGAAAATTATTATAAACTGAGTATGATGGTTAGATTATTGTCACGAGTTATTTTAATTAAGATTGAAGTTAAGTTATATTTTAAGAATAATTTGTAGTAATAGTTAATTGAGTATTTAATTGAAATATTAAAGATAATCTTATTAATGTATTTTGACGAACGATGATGCAGATTGTATTTTAAAAAATAATTATTGAGAGATATGTTATTAAGGAAGACCTTTTCAAATGAACTTTTGATAATCATGAGAATTATATATTGGGTATGGTCCCTTTTAGAATGGTTTCAAGTTATTAATATAAATTCATGAAAATAAGGGGTCGTTTGGATGGATCAATTGTAAAACGAGACAATTTGACCAATTGTTTCATTTTACAAAACGAGTCATTTAAAACGAGTCAATTCAGATTACCTGCCCCCACCCAGACAATTGTAATTGGCTCAAAATGAGTTAATTCAGAATTCCTCAGTTCAAATTGCTTCATCCAAATTTTCTGCTGCCAAATGGATCAATCTAGCACAATTGACTCAAAACGAGACAATTGTGTCAGATTGATCCATTAGAATTCCTCATCCAAACGACCCCTAAGATTTTGATCGTAATATGTTTAGTTGATATGTTGATGAAATTAGTTAATGGACGATATGGATAATTTGATGTATTTTTATTGTTATTATATGGTTCATATGATAAAAGGATTTGATGACGAATAAAATATATATTGATTATTGATATGTATGATTATGGCATGATGATGATGATGATGATGACAGGGATATTGAGTGATAGTGATACGATTGACGTATATGAGTATGACGTGATTAGAATATCGATTGGTATAAATGTGATTGGTAAATATAAATATTACCGAGATATTTTGTGACAATGTTGATATGATGAATGCTTTGATTAATGATGATGTGGATGAGATATTATCATGATCGATTTGTATTTGATGTGTTAAATGATTACGATGAGTGAATGAGGTATTGATAAAGTGAGTACTTGGTAGATTTGTCAAGTTTGATTGAAGAGAATGAATTACTTATATCATTGAGGAGATGATGATTATATTGAGATCATGCAATGCATCAAAGTATGCATAGATGATGTGAGATATGCATGGACTGGGAATATCAATGGGACGTTGTTGATTTCTTGGATCGATTGAGATATGATGGAAGAGAGAAATTGATATTGTTTGATCATGTTAAATCACATAGACATAGAAGGGCCTATGCCTACCCCTATGAGATTGATTGGGCTGCGGTCCTAATGAAAGGATTTATGATAATCCTAGATTGGAGGAGATTGTGGTTTTTGATATAACCACTAAGATGATGAGCTCGAGCGGGGTGGGCGTATGGTGACCTTAGCGCGCAAATTAATAACAAATGGAGAGTCTGCATTTCATGCATTGCATATGATATATATGATGGAGATGATTTCCATAAAGGAAAATCGTGAAGTTATATTCGATTGATGATTGATTGAAAGATTGATATGGTTATTTCCAAATTGGTGATTTGATTATGGATGAACGATTGATATGTTTTGATGTTCAAATGATGAATTGACTTTGAATGAAGGATTGATATGATGGATTCATGAGTTGAGGTAAGTTTACGATTTTATGTCGATATACGACTTGATTAATGAAAGTCATACCATGAGGAATTGGGTTAAAGATGAATTTGGATTGATGACCTAGAAATAAATCTAGAGATTAATGAGATTTTTGTGTGGCATGATAATTTGTTGATGATGTGTTTTTAAACAACAAGATGTGATGATGTGATGGCATGCTAACGATAGTTTTGCCGTATAGGCCAGGTCCACACACTCAGCTTAGTAGCTGACCCATTTTTCTTTCTAGATGTGACAGGTGTGATAAATTGAGGATGACTTTGGCACTGCACAATGATCGATGGAGGATTTTGATTTAAAAGGTTTTTTACCTATTGATTTATTCTAGAACCCTTATTTTACGATTCGGGTTTTGAGCATGCATGATAGTTTACATTGGTCAAGTATGATCATTAACTTGAGTTGAGTATGAATGGAGTAGATGAGATTGATAGTCTGGGTTATGTGAATCCTGATTTTGAGGAAGATTGATTAATGTATTGAGAAAGCGATTTTTAGTAAATTGTTATGATGAGTTGAATTTTAAACATATGATAATGATGTGGATGTGAGTTGAGTCGAGATTTTGAAAGCGTAAACCCCGAGTGATTTCCGCTGTGTGGTTGAACCATTGGTTCGAACCATGATTTTAGGGTGGGGTGTTACACGGGTTACAGTTGGTAATGCAGATGATATTATATTGAAGCGGCTTGCTAGTTGGAAGTATTTGGATAATTATTCTAATTCACCTTTTGGGAGAGATTGGTTGCTATGGAAATCGGAATATCGGGTTACTAAGATTTCTGCTGGTGAACATTTTGTTCAAGTAAGGGTTTCAGATCCTGTGAAGTGTGTGGTGACTGCCATATATAGTCCGAACAAGACACATGATAGAGTAAGGCTTTATTCCGTTGCTTCCTCCAGTGATTACTCGAGAACCTGGTGTGTTTATGGGGGATTTTAATGCTACTTTGTGCCCTTCTGAAGCTTCAAACACTAATGTCATTAATCATAGCACAATTGATTTTCGGGAGTGGGTGTCTTATTTGGGATTATTTGATCACAAGGTCTTGGGAGAGTGTTATAAATTAGGGGTGGAAGTTTGGTTTGCGGGTTGCGGGTAACCCGCAAACCGCACCAAACCGCACACTTTGTGGATACCCATACCCATAATATGTGGATAGTGGGTTGGGTGTGGGTATCAAAATATTGATTTTTGTGGTAGTGGTTAACCACTACCCACAGCGTTTTACCCACAAAACCCACATTAACCACATTAGTTGTATTTATTTTTTCAAAATACTTTGTAACCCACATTAGTTATATTAGTTTGTGAAACTTGGAAGACTAATAATTAAAGTAGCTACCAAAATCAAATATGCACTTATTCTATAAAACAAAACCAAGTCAATACACAATGTTCATGTGATATACTTTTATTAAATAAATATTGTCTTTGTGGTATATGTTTATTTTATAACAAAACCAAGCCCATAGATATAGTCAGATAAATTAATCGATTCGTTAAAAGAGGAGATTAATCGTTAAATGTTAGTATGATACCCAAACTCATCTCCATTTCTCCACGAACTCAAGAACAACACAACATGCAACCAGCCACCAACAATACAAGACTATAATCGAAAGAGGAGAATAATCGATTCATTAAAAGCGGCTGCCTCCACTTATCGAGCCACTTTTGTGTTTTGTTGTTGTTGTCATCGGAGGAGCCGTGACATGCAACGATGTTAGTCGGGTAACATATCACTCCGCCTCTTCGTTATCTTCAATTTCTTTCCAAATCCATCTCTTTTGAATTGACACTAACTAACCTTTTGTATTTGAGATTTAAAATTTATTTAACACTTAATTAACTTTCTTTTAAGTATGTTTTTGTTTTTGTGTGAGAAGAAACACAACATCATTATTTAATTACCATATTATTATTTTTAATGTGAAATTTTTGTGGGTATCCACAACTAACCCGCACCAACCCGCAGGAGGTAGTGGTTAACCACTACCCACTGTGGGGCGGGTTGTGGGTAGCATAATTCTATATATGTGGATGTGGTTACCCGCAAAATGTGGGACGGGTAACCACACCCACCCCAATTTCCACCCCTAGTATAAATGGTGGAACAAGCAGGATCATAACCCAATAGCGCGCAAACTAGACAGATTTTTGGTTAATCAGGAATGACTTAGTCTATTTCCTCATAGTGTTGCACAGACTCTTGCACCAGGAGTCTCGGATCATTGCGGTTTAATGATTGATACTTCACCAAAGGGGACTACACTACCCAAGCCTTTTAAATATTTTAATTTTTGGAGGTCCCACCCTCAATATGGAGACCTGCTGAAAGAAGCTTGGCAAAAGGAGGTACAAGGACATTCGGTGAGGATTTTCAATGGTAAATTGAGAGAATTGAAAGGAAAGTTGAAGAAGTTAAATAGGACGTGCTATTGTGAGATATCTGAGAGGGTGAAAGAAACATAGATTCAGTTGGAGGAAATCCAAAAAAGCTTCTAAGTGATCCAAGTGAAGAACTTGAATTGGCACAAGTCTGTAAGGAATTGCAGATAGCTGAGAAAGAGTTACTTTAGACAAAAATAAAGAGTGCAAGGGATCTTAGAGGGTGACTCGAACACAAAGTTTTTTGATTCTTCAGTTAAAGCCAGGACACATAGGCAGAATATTAGTAGATTGGTGGTTGATGATGGTAGTAAGCTCACAGATGTCCAGCAAATGAGTGAACTAGCGGTGCATTTTTATAAAAAAATTGTGGGGCGACCGGATTAGAATGTCCTTGATTATCCCAATGATTTTTTTATCAGTTGATCATATTAAAGCTAACTGAAGAGGAGCAGCAATTGCTTTTGCTTCCTGTCACAAGAGCTGAGATTCGAGAATATTTTAAGAAGATGGGGAGAAATAAGGCTCCAGATCCTGATGGGTTCCCAATGGAGTTTTATGTTGCTGACTGGGAGATGATTGGAACAATAGTTGAGGATGTTATTTTGGAAATTCTTTCGTACAGGGGAAATGTCCATACAGATAAACTCGACAGTCATTTCTCTCATTCCTGAAATTTCTAATGCGGATAAGATGAAGGACTTTAGACCGATATCGTGTTGCGATGTTCTTTATAAAGCTATCTCGAAGCTATTATCTAATAGGTTATCTTGTGTGCTTCCAAAAGTGATTAGGAAATCTCAGTCTGCATTTGTTAAGGGAAGAAGTATTAGTGAGAATATCTTGATTGCTACTGAGTTGGTGCATGGTTATCATATAAAAACTCTAACTCCTCGCTGTGTTTTGAAAGTGGATCTTTGGAAGGATTTTGATTTAGTTGATTGGAAATTCTTGGTGAAGGTTCTAAGGGCTATGAGGTTTCCTCCTGAGTTCATTAGTCTCATTGAATCTCATGTGATGACTCCCATGTTCAGTGTTTCTTTTAATGGAGGAATTTGTGGTTATTTTCAAGGAGGTAAAGGACTCCGTCAAGGAGACCCTTTATCCCCGTATCTATTTACCGTGGCAATGGATTTTTTCTCTTGTCTTATGGCTAGAGAGGTTGAGAATCAGCAGATCCCTCATCATCCGAGGTGTATGTCATTGGAAATAACACACTTATGCTTTGCAGATGACCTTATGGTATTTGCCAATGGGTCGGTGAGAGTTGTTGCTGGTATCCGAAGGCTACTGGACCAGTTTTATCAGATTTCAAGGCTTCAGTGTAATAAGGCAAAGTGTAATCTTTACTGTGCTGGAATTTCGGAGGATGAGAAGCAATTTATCTCACGCACAACATGGTTCCCATTAGGAGAAATGTCAGTCCGATAGTTGGGGTGCCACTTATAACTGGAAAGTTAAGTTCTGTTGACTGTCAATTGTTAATTGATAGGATTGCAGTAATGATTAGAAGTTGGAAAGCTCGTTATCTCAGCTATGCGGGCAGATTACAGTTGATCTCTGTTGTAATTACAAGCACTCTTCAGTATTGGATGGCGATCTTCTGCTTGCCAGTGAAGGTTCTAAAGGAAGTGGAGGCAATTTGTAATCGATTTCTATGGGGTGTGGGGGAAGATGGAGGCAGAAAGAGAGCCCCTGTTGCTTGGTCTTTTATTGCTATGCCAAAAATGGAAGGAGGGCCGGGTATAAGGGGATTTAAAGCTTGGGACCATGCCTGTGTGGTACGCCATATATGGAGTTTACTTTCTGAGGCGGGGTCAATTTGGGTGGCATGGATTCACCGCTACAGACTGAAGCACATGTCACTTTGGGATTTGAAGCCTACCTCCACAGGTTCTTGGATATGGAAGCGAATTCTGAAGGGGCGTGCAGTAGTGCAACATTTGATTTAAGGTACAACCTCGTCTTTGCTTTTGAAAGGAACTCCTATGGAAAAATACTCGGCAAAGAATGTATGGGATACTATTAGGGAACGATTCCCTGAAGTGCCCTGGTATGAGGTTGTATGGGGGAAGAATATGATACCAATTGGAGGTGGGGAATCAGTTCACCATGACAATTGGAGGTGCGGTGAAGACGATGGTAACCTTGAATTGAACTAGGTATGTCTAAATCAAAAGTCCCCAATTCCATGGAGGAAGAACGCTGTCCTAGTTTCCCAGAATTGGCCGTTTGGGACATCATCTTTTGACCCGATGTGGAGTCAATTTTGTGCAGGATTTGAGAAGAGGAAGGAACCATCTTTGAGGGAAAAGCTTTTTAAAGAGGGAGGGCCTGATACAACCCTGGATTTCCTCCTTACCAAGCTGGAATTACTTGTTTAAGAAGCTAACCCAAACCATTTGAACCATGTGGATTTTTGGTTAAGTATATTAACAGTTTCAGGTAGCCAACTTTGGGGGAATGGTTCTTCCAATTGGGTCGATGGAAATGTGAGTTTAGGGATTCATTTTAAACCTGGATTTCTCCTTTACAAGTTGGAGTTTCTGGAAGCTCGAGATGGAACTCAGAAGACCCTTTTCAAGGCTCGACAATATGCTTCCTCAACACAGGAATTCTGCCCAAATTTGTCTAAGTGTAAAGGTGAGTTTGGACAGGCTATTTTGAAGCGCCATTCCAGAAAGGTGGGCGTGCTTTGAGCAGGGGCTTTCTATCCCATGAAAGTATGTACTTTAATGAACAGAGAAGGGGCATCAGAGGAGTCATTGTGCACCTGGAAGTCATCCATCAAGAGCCGCAAAGATGGCATCAAGGTTGCTGGTGACTTGGAGCTGAAGAAGGGAGTTTCTTTACTTATTTGTTTCGGATTGTTACTTCCTTTGCGTTTGTGTTTACGTTTAGGTTTACGAGTGGTGTTAGGTTTAGGACGGTTTCTTCGTTTGGGAGACTATCTAGGGTCTATTTAAGATTTCGATTGCGTTGTAATTGAACTCAAGTTTTATCAAAGAATACGTTTTGTTCATAGAGCTTTTGTCTCGTGAATTGTCCTTGGTTGAGTGGATTCGATTCCATCAAACAAGCGAGCTCAGCATCGATTGATTCATCACATCAATCGTGGACTAGTTGCTATCCTCATTGGATCGAGCCTCTTCCCCTAGTTGGCGTTGAAGTTGCACGTTCTAACCCACCTTTACCTGTTCTTGGTCTGTTTTCCTTCGAGCTTGATCAAGGGAAACAAAGGTTTGATTGGCTGCGAGCTCTGTACCACAAGCTGAGGCAAGCTGGGGCTTATCACCTTCTAAGTTGGAATTCTCATCCCCCAAGCTCATTTTTGGTTCATTTGATCCCACATAACCATGATATTATACCTCTAACTAAAATAAATCAAAGCATTTTACGGAAAAAAACCGAACCATGAACTTTACCTGCTACCAAATCCAAACACAATTTCTTCCTCTCACCACTTCCCTTCCCAAAGCCAATATCAACTTTTACTCCAAGTTCACACCCCCAACTCCCAGTGTGTTGCGTGAAAGCTTAATTTTAGTAATCATTATGCTTGCAATTAGATTAATGGACACCAACAAGCGCCAAAATTACACCAGACGATGAGTTGTCTTCACATTGAATTTTGTCATAAAACTGCTGACCCGATATGTTTATAAGTTTGGAGGCCATATGATGAGCAATATCGAATCAGTTGCAACGAAGTTACCGGTCACAGTAATGACAATGTGAAACGTGTGTTAACAAACGCTAATATGGGTTACTTTTATGGATTGACATTAGAATGATGGGATTGGACATTGAGATCGTCCTTAGTTAAGCGACATGTAAATTGGCTCATTTGGTATTGTGGACACATATCGTTAAAATTCTAAATTATTTGGGTGAGTTTGTATTTAGTGTTTTCAAAATCGTGGTATGAGTTAGGTAATTAAAATATCTAAAACCAAACGAACCGACCCACGTACACCCCTAGGAAGAGTTTCAAAACTTAGTATTTAACCGGAAATAAATGTTCAGAGAACCAGTCTCCTATAGTTTGCACAAAGATATGATTGCTTTACTATAATTCTGGAAATTAATGGTAATTTAAGAATTCTATATCGCTTGTACATATTCAATACGATAATTCGATATGAAATATTCGAACCAACAATATTTTGATTGCAAATTTATGGTTATCGTCTATTTATAAGATAGATAAAATTTTAAATTAAGTATTAAAC